AAAATTGAGTTGTATTTTTTAGGAAGACTGCATTTTATTCCTAGACATTTAAACTGAAAATTGAGCTTAAAGAAAACTGGAGGAGGGATAGTTGAGTTAAAATGTGCATACCAAATGATAGAGGAATAAAGCTTTATTCAAACTTTTTTGTTTATTGTGCCCTACTCAGTGATCCAGTGTTAATATCAGGTGCAGCTTTTATGGAATAAAATGAAAAATCATTCCAAATGTAGTCAAGTTTCATTAAGCCAAACTTGAAGTAAAACATCCCTGAAAAACAAAATATTAAAAATTCAGCTCTGAATCAGTATGAATTTCGAATATTATATTTTGCTGTTCTCTTTGACTTACCTTCTAATTTCTAGTTCTAGCAACCATTCCATTGAAAAATTTTGACATATTGAAGTTGTAGTAATTGAAGTTTTAGAGTATATTCACAAAATGGCAATTGAGTAATCAGAGTGTCTTAAAAAAATTAAAACGTTGCAGAGTTTTGCATTCATTCAGCTTCTTGTCTTAATAGAAATATGACAGGTAAGGGAAGGCTTGCACATATTTTAGGCATGGGTGTAATAGTAGAATGTTGCATTCCTTTTATTTCTTCCATGTCAGAAAAGAACTTTCATTTTGAAAGAATGCTTCAGTTTTTGGGTTGCAAAAATAATTGCAAGGAGACAACTCTTTGGAACATGGGAGATGACTAAGTACACATTACTTATTTTCAGGTCAGAGTAACTCTACAAAGTGGTTATTGACCAGTGCGTAGATGTGGTATCATGCTATAGAATGGTTTCCTAATGAATAATGTAGTATTAAAATCGTCTGTTTAATTCTCAGCTATATGAATCATGTTGTAAGCACATTAAAACGTTTAAAATTGCAGTAGTTTTTTGATGGCTCAACTTCTAAGAAAATCCTAATGTTGCTTAGTCTAACACCTGTTTAATCTTCCCAGGGTGAATAATGCAAGGAAATGATCATCCCACCTTTAGCTTAGATTCCAAGTACTTTAAGTGAATATAATCGTAGCAAATGTATACGTTCATTTGCACTGTGCCTGTGCCTTGGTAGTTTAAATGGGAGCTGACTTCATAAAGTTTTCAGGATTTTCCTGATGTGTAATATAAATACCTAGGTTACAGAATAACCATTTATGAATTGCCTAATAAGAAGTTTTCTACACATCCTCTTTTTTTTTTTCTTATTTCTCATTACATTTTTCTAAGGCATTGTTCCGGAATATCTAAAATCTAAATTTCTAACCAAAGAAGATTTTGATAGCTTTTTTTTTAATTTTCTAAAACATATAAATATGTTGCAATGTAATAAAAAAAGAAAATCAATATCATTATAATTTTTTAACATTTCTTGTTATATTCAGCTTATATTGATTACATATAATGCATTCCCTCATACTTTATAAGAGAACATGAAATACAATTACTTAATTAAGGACATTTGATAATATCCAGCTTTTAATGCAATATTTAATTTCTAGAACTGTGGACATAAGGCTGGTGACATCACTTTTTTCCCTTGTTTTGTGCTTTAATGTATTATATTTAATGATGTTAAATTTTCGTGTATGTATTTCTTTCCTTGTGAATAGATATGTCTACAAGTGTTACGTTTCAGAAGTACAAAAAATGTGTACATCCAGCAAACATTATTAAATATCCTTCCAAGATTTGCTGCTTTTGATACCAAAAAGTTTGTTAAAAGGTTAGTAAACTTTTTGTAAGATATTTGGCAAAAATTTGATAATGTTATAGAAAAACAGAATTCAGTTTATTTATTTGTATTAAGATAGGATATATATGCACATCTCTGAAACATAAAAGCAGAGTGTAAAATATACAACAGGAATACAGAGAAGACCATTAGAGAGTTTCACAAATTTTTATTTAAAAACAAAATAATTCCAAGCTATTTCCATGCAATATGCTGAAAATTAATCAGTATAAACAAAAAGTAAGAAATTTAGAACACTTCCACAAAGACCTCCAAAAAGTGAAATTCAGTGCCAGTAAATTTCAAAATTTCCTATAAATATGTAAAATTAGTCAAAAGAATTAAATATGAAATACTAAAACTTCCAAAAATACAAAAATACAAAAAATAAATAAATAAATAAAATAAAATAAATACAAATACCGTATATTTCAGTGTATTTAAAAAATAGGACCAAAATTTATGGGTGTGCGTTACACACTGGATATAAAAGTGATAGCTTAAAAATAAGGAAAAAATAAGATTTTTTTTTTTACATGCACCAAAATGCTGCTTATTTAGTCTTTGCCGGAATATTTACTCCCTCAAGCATTTAACCCACACAATTTTCCCCTTATCGCTTGTCGGTGTGGTTTACCATTGTTCAAAAGACAAGTGACAAATAAGCCAAATGTTCGAATAAGTGACCTCAAAATATAAGAGCATTGCACATGTATCTTTTAGATTTTTTTCATTAAGAATTGGGTATGCGTTATATGGCGAATATACCTAAAATTAAAAAATGTAGCTTGAAATTATAGATGTGCATTATACATCAGTGTGCTTTATATGCTGGAAACAGGATTTAGCTAAAAAAGATCAGTATTGTAAACACAGTGTAATGATCATGCTGATTAAGTATTCATCGGTTCAAAAAGTTTTATGTTAAATATTTTAAAGATGTCATTAAAAACGAAGTCATTTTTAATAGTGAGGTCAACTGCAGAAATCCGAGTCTGTAATACCATATAGCAGTGATTGATATTTGAAAATAACTTATTTTGTAATTAATTCATTCTAACTGTTTATTTATTTTTTAACTTTTAAATAACTATTTTTTTAATTGTTTAAAAACCAAATGCAAAATTTTTTTGGATTAATAATTGTATGTAATTTTTTCCTTTACAGTTATTTAAGTGAAACTATGTCATACCTTCTTAGCTGCCTGAGGCGTGAAAGAGAACGTTATAATGCTTTTAACGCAGTTGGTTTATTAGCTGTAGCTGTAAAACTGGAAATTAAACCTTATATTCCAAAAATTATGGAAGTTATTCGTTCTTCCCTTCCTTCAAAAGATATGACAATTAGGTGGGTAGGTTTTTAATAATTTTAAATGTCTTTTTTTTTAAATTTGTGTGTGGCTAGTAATTTTATAGATACTATTAAAGTATTTCTTTTTTATATATATATAAAGGAAGAAAATGCCTCAACTGGAACAGCTGATTACTTGTATAAGTATGCTAGGCAAGATTAGGCCATCTATATAAATGATATCAAAGAATTTAGAACCTTGATGCCACTGGACTAAGGTTGCATTGATTTTTTTATCTAAAAATTTTATGCATTTATAATAATAATTAAAAATATTTAATCAGAAAATTCTTGAAGTTATAGAAAGAGAGAGAAAAGAATGTATATTTTAATCTCAAACTGAGTATAAGCTGAGAATGCATTTTTTCATCAAAAATTTACCCACATTCAAAATTTTATATATAAACCAAAAAAAAAAAAAAAAAAAATTCCTGGAATGTTCAAACATTTTTGGATGGAATATATTGCAATCAAATTGATGTTAAGTAAAATGCCTTATGCTAAGAGTGATAATTTTAATTCTGCTAAACCTATTTGAAGCTAGCACATTTTCCCCATTCATTGTATACAATCTGTGATAGTCTGTTTTCTGTGCCATTTTATTATTATTTTTTCCCTGTAAGATGAGTGGTAACAGAAATTTTTATATGGCAAATTTCAAAATATAGGTAATATGATTTCCTAAAATTTTTAACAACAATGTGGTTGCTCAACACTTTTTCACAAATGAAAAACAAGTTTGAGAGTGAAAAAAAGTGTTGAACTAGTGGCAATGCCAAAATTGAAAAAGGCAGCAAGTGATCATTTTCCGTTAGCTGTGTGAAAATTTCATCATTATCAGATGTTTTGTTTTGGCGATGAAACAACGAACTAGCAATATAAATATTTTCAGAAGTAAAACAACTCATTTTCATAATGTGAATAACTCATTTAATTTAAAATGATGTTTTTCATAAACTTAAAAAATGAAAATATGCTATATTTGGAAATTTATCCCTTCTGCCTGGCTAATTGGAAGATTTTGTGATATTAACAAATTCATATATAGGTTGACCCTCATAATTTAACTTTTGAAAATTCTCAGTTTATGCCCAGAAAATGAGATATGTATGTGTCCTGTTGGAGGTGGGTGATAACTAGTACTCAATACACTGCAGTTATTGTCTCTCTTTGTAAATCTTTCTGCAATCATTTTCATGTAAGGTGCATAAACTGTAAAAGTATACACCTAGCTGCTGATAACATGCTTCTCGTAATTTTTGATTAGTATAAAATTTTTCATAATGTCTAATAGTTTGGCTTAGTAATTCATTATTTTCACCCAAAAGGGCAATTTCTGATGTCTTAGTTGTGTTTGCAGAATAGTAAAATGCCCATATACTTTTAAAAATACATATATAAATGACTTTATTATTTACACAAGAAAGTGTAACATGGTTGCAATATGTGCCATTTATCATTGCAGTTTTTCTGTTTTGCATGATGGAAGGGTAGGTATATTATAATACAGGTGTATATAAAAACACAAGGATAGAAAAAAGAAGACAAATAAAAAAAAATTATAGAAAAAAAGGACTAAAAAGTTATTAATGCATGATGCCTTTTTTTTCGTCTTTTCCATAAAAACAATCTGCCACTGAATGCTGTCAATGACATTGCAGTTTTATTAAAAAAAAATTTCTCATTCATAAAGTTACTCAGAAATATTCATGTAGAAAGAGAAAGATGATTGCAACTGTTCAAGAATCTGGTGTGAAAGATAAGTCTTCAGTTATTTGCATTAAAATGGCTCCTTTCTGCTGATGGAACCAATACTGTTGCAAAACTATATCTATTTATTGTTCATTTTTTTAACCCCATTACTTTAGAAATTGAGTGTAGTTTACTTTATGTACCAACTTCTGGAGGGATATTCACCAGACTTTAATGTACCACCGTTAATTATTAAAAATTTGCAGTAAAATTGAGCTCCTCTGGATAAGTTTTCAGCTGTTTGTGTAAGTAATGCACCAGTAATAGCAGCTCAAAGATTCATATTGCAAGTTTCTTTAAATAAGAAAACTCAGATTTTGCAGGTTATGGGATTTGTATGTCACTTTCCTAATATAACAGCTGAAAAGGTGAAACTTCTTTTCCAGTAAACATGGATGAATTCATTGCTAATCTTTATTGCTAATCTTATTAAAAAATTACTAAAAGGAAAGAAAAATTGAAATAATTTCAACAGCTGCATAATAAGTATTTTGAAACATGTATGTATATGCTGTTATCACTAGAGAAAATTTTCAGTATATTATTGTTAAAACAAGGACTAGTTTTAGATCAAATATGAATGACAGACTGAAAAACTTTTATTAACAAAAACAGTCCTATGTGGTAACTGCTTTGAGCAAAATTGTGATGCTTCTTTCTTTGAGAAAACAAAGTGTGCTTCTGTTAATAGTTCTTTTTTGTTAATAGTTCTTTGAAAATGGATTAAACTATTATTTGAAAATGGATTAAACTATTATTTTCCTATGATGTTTTAAATAATATTTTTTAAATATATGAGTATTTTCATATTAATTGTGTTTAAAACACGGTGATTGTACTCTCAGACGTTAATGAGATATTATGTGCTGTTTGTTATTTAAAAAAATTCCTTTTTGTCTGCTTTTGCTGCTTAAAAATTATTTCCTTCACTGAAAAAAAAACTTATCTAATTTAAGAAAGAGAAAACAAACAACAACAAAAACAGGATTTTTGAATTTGGCATGTCTTGTTTACTGGGAGTTTGGAGTAGAATTTGGATTATTTTAGTTTTAGAGATTACAGTTAAGTAGATTGTTTATATTTGCTAAAAATGTTCATGTGAGGCTTTACTGAATTTTAAAGCTTCATTATCATTCTATGAAGCTTCATAGAATGATTCTTCATAGAATGATAATGAAGCTTTCTGGTTTGTGAATTTTTTTTTATTTTGTAATTTATTAAGAATTGTGAATAAGTGCAAATTTTATTATCATGTCACAGTTCAGATTATCCAGTCTCATCTTTTCCCTTTTGTATGTTTATTGACTATGTGTAACTTTAGGAAAAATGTATTCTCTGAAAATAGGATTTTTATTTTTTATTTTTTTCTTTTTAATTTCAAATTTCTGTAATTATCAAGTCCTGCTCTTACTGCATCATTACGAGAGCTTGCTACCCAAATACCGCAACTTAAAAGGGATATCCAAGAAGGTCTTCTAAAGATGTTATCTATTGTTTTGATGAGGCGTTCATTACGTCATCCTGGTATGCCAAAGCATTTAAATAACCAGCCTTCTTCTTCAGGTATTATTTTCTTGAAGTTTTAGTTTTAATAATAAAATAAAGTAATTTTTATTTTTATTTTAATGTATGCTAATTAATATAAATGATATAGATATTTAATTAAAAAAGTTTTACGAATAAGTAAATCACAACCTAGCCGAAGTATAGCAATTAAACATATCTTGTGTTTTCGCCCCATACATCAGCATGCTTATTTCAGCCCGATTTACTTAAATATAGGGGATGAAAATAGTTTTTTTCATTCTGGAATTTTATGTGTGTGCTCAGGTTACAGAGACCACTCAAACTCTGAGTTCACTTCCCAATTTGATGATCATAAAGATGTTGGCAAAAAATCTTTACAATTGGTGGTCAGAGAGTATATGTCTTCGTATATTTATTCTTTTTAAAATTGCTTCTCTGCTTTTGTTTCTAGCATTCACTCTTACTTGCATGAATAATGAACTTTGCTAGTCTTTTTTTATCAAAATAAGGGCTTCAAAATTCTTATTTACCATAAAAGAGCCCACAAACATAAGAATAGTGATGTTACAAGTATTTAGAATCCACTAATATGCTAATAGTTCGTTAATTTTTATTTCTACCTAATTTTGAAACAGCTGTATAGCTGAAACAGCTTTGTTTAGCTGTATAATACAAGAATTTTATTTCTTCATTTCGTATGTGGATTAAGATGTAAGACTATTTTACTTTCATTGGTACAAGAGATAGTTTATTTTATTTTAATATTATATCTAGATTATTTTATTTTAATATGCAGTAGTACTTTATGCCGACTGTGAAATATGTCAAACTTAGTATATGTCCCGTTTGGATTTAAAAAAAAAAAAAAAAATTGTATACGATATTTGTCTGGAATACAACTTAACTTAAATTTGATAAGTAACAACTGTGTACATTACCCTTGATTAGCTTTTTCAAGACAATGCTATGACTGTGCGTGAGTGCAAGCATGCCCAGTGATACTATTCGATGAACAACTTGTGCTATAACTGTGAACTTTAAAATGATTTTTTTTTTTTTTTTTGTTTCTTCTCTTAAATTTTTCGTAAATTCATTACCAATGAGTTTTATGGATTTTTATGAGAAGAATCAAGCAATGAAGAAAATTGTTAGTATGACATTGGAGGTGATAAAACAGATTTTTTAGAAATATGAAAATGGCATGCATATCTAAGACTTGGCGGTTGCCACACATATGATAAGTATGATGGTGTGTACATAGTGAAACACAAAGATGTTATCAAATAGGCTAACATTTCAAAAGGGGTAAAACTGATTACTGAACAAAGATCAGAGAACATTAAAGCATATTAAAAAATTGCTTTTGATCTGGATAGCAGAAAAAAATTATTTACAGTATGTATTTTATCCTCTACATTTGTATTTTAGTATTGAATACTTTTATAATTACAATAGAATTTTTTTATAAGATCCAATTAATTATCATATCTTTATTTCTGATTGGAAAATTTCGTTTGGTGTATGTCGAAGGATCTGGAATGGATTAGTGACGTATGCTGAGGTATCACCGTATATAGTAGAGTTATGGATTGAATACTGTATTTATTTAATGTTCATAATATCTTACTTGGTAATTTTTCAATTAAACTGACTCTTATATATGCAATGCGAATATCTTGTTTGCTGTTTTATTACCCACAGATATGAGGTTAATACTGTTGTTAATTTTTTGAAGACTTGAAATATTTAAAAAATATTTTGAAGTAGAATAATTCTAAATTAGTATAGTTATTTTGAATTAGTATAGTTATTACTATTTAGATTTGAAGATTTTCCAAATTAGTATAGTAGATTTTATGTGAGAGATGCAAGAATTAATTTCTTTGTTATAATATTGTTAGGATTGCATCAAAATTTATTGGAAGTAACAGATGTCGCAAGCATTACATTAGCTCTGAAAACATTGGGAAGTTTTGATTTCCAAGGTAAAATACTGTTTTTCATAAATAGTGAAAATACATTATTTTGAAGTATTTTCATAAACAGTAAAAGTACTTCAAAATAATGGATTAAAAAGCCAGTCTCTTTTAGGGCGGCCGCTTATGCTGTTCGTACGTTACTGTGCTGAGAACTATTTATCAAGTGAATATAAAGAAATTCGTCTCGAAGCAGTAAGAACATGCTGTAAACTTTTACTTCCTGCTATTCAGGTAAAAATTTAAAATTTTTGACATACTATGAAAAATGGTTTATTTTGTGATCAGTTAATGAAGTTTTTCAAGTTTCAGATTAAACCATTTATGCATTTTTTTTTTTTGTTTCATCGATTGAGCTTTTCTGAATCTGATTTGTAATACATAAGCCAGTAGGAATTTTAATTTTACAAGATAAAATTTGAAATTCATTTTGCATACATTTACTGCAACGGTGAGTATGGGTATTTAGGATCTTAATTGTGTGAAATCCATGATTGTCACATTTAAATTCCCCCTTTTAAGTAATATGAATTAATATATCAAACTGAAATAATTTTACTTTTTGTTTTATAATCTTATTCCCCATAATATCTAATTTTATGTTAAAGAAGATAGGCTTTCTGTCTATTGCAATCGTAATGGTCTTAATGAGTTTGATATGAGTAGTGCCCTATTAACCAGTAGGGAAAATGGCTGTCATAATCTTGGGTCCAGATTAAAAATGTGGAACAGGTATGGATGCTTTTTAAGCATATAGTCTTTTTGTAACATGGGGACACTTGAATACTGTTGTGCTGAAAGTCCTCTCAAAGGGATGATGGTAGGAAAAAAAAAGGTAGCAGACTCTGAAACCTGTCTCATGGGATATTCTCCTTAAAAATATAATGAAGCTTCCCTTTTCTTCTGGATGTAATTTGATTGTTCCTGTACTGCATCCAGAACAGTGTTCTTGGTGATATAACTAAATAGCTAATGGATTTGGCCATTCATGTGAATGCTTTAAAAAGTGTCTAGCCATTGAAACGAAAAAATTTAACAGTATGAAAAACATTCTTATTTATTGTTATAATATTAAGGTTGAGCTAACTTTTAGGAATATAGTAGGTCACCCAAAAATTTTATTTATTTTTTTTTAATACAAAATACAAATAAAGCAATATAAAAAAACTTTTCACTGAGGCATAAGCACCGTTTTATTCTATGATTTTTTTGTCATCTCTCAGGCAGCTGGAATTTTTTTTTTTTTTTTTTTTTTTTAAGTCGTCAGATTTATTTGTAAAGAAGTTACTGGTATGCTGTTTAACAGTCTCCAAATAAGTGAACTCGAAGCCATTCGGAGAGTTTTAAAGTGACCAGAAGAGATAAAAAATCCCTAGTGAAATTGGGTGGGAGGACATAATACATCTCAGCTATTTGACATTCATTGAAATGGGGGACCAAGCATTGTCATGATGAAAGACAACATCTTGAAGATTGGTCAGTTCTAAGAACTTTGCCATCTGGAAACTCTATTTTACCAATTTTGTGACAATGGTTTAGAGTGTAGAATTCCCTTGTAGTTTCACCATACAAGAGCCTGTCGATGTTATTAAATTAGGTCCTTTTGGTTTAATCCATAATCTTTTTCTTATAACATCTCATCTTCAATAATGAGCTGATTAAAAAAGAGGAGTTTTTTAAACAATTAAATTTAATTAAACATTTTTTGATTTTTTAGCAAAAAATCACATGCCAAGCCTCTAGCAAGCATGTTCTGTTGTATTAAAGTAAGATACACCCATGTATCATAGCAGCTTATATACCTATTTTTTAGTCCAAAGGGGCAATTTGTTCTGGAGAACTGTTAATTTCGTTTTGGCATTTTGCAGTGAAAACTTTAAAAGGCTGTATTACATTTGAAATCATTGCCACCATATATTATCGCCCTATCTTATATTTAAAGGAATTAAATAATGAAGAATCTGCATAAATGTATTTATGTTTCTTGCATTGTGATAAATCAACGGTACTTAAACCCATCAAAATTTGAATAATGTAATCTTCCATAGAATATGGGCCTGTGAAAGCCCTAATTTGAATTTGAAATTTGTTTTATTTATTGGTTTCATATTTTGTAAAACTTTGAACGTTGAGTTTGTTAATCAAAAATGAATTTTTGATTAACAAACTCAACGATTTCAAAGCCAGCAATGATAATGTTATACAGAAAAAAAAACATTTTTAACTCCAGCGCACAAGACTCTGTATCGGAAATTCTAAAGATATGTTCATTATAAAATTAATTTGTGATATTGCTGCTGAACTGAATTTTATCGTTTGAGTACATAGAACATGATACTTAATAAATAAAGGTAATGCACAAAACGTTAAAAAAAAAAGCCCCTTTAGATGTAATTTAAAATATGAAACCTTTCAGATTTATTTATTTATTTTTAAATGATCATGTTTTGTACTTTTTTGGAATATATATTCTGTCTGATAGCTGTTGAACTGTATAACTTGGACTTTCAGTGACAGCTTCTTATACTAGGTCCTCGTTTACAGAAGATGATTGTCCAAAGTAGGCATCATATTTGAGGCTTAAATTTCCTAGCTTAAACTTCTCAAACTACCTTAAGACCGTGTCATCATAAGCAGCACTTTTTCCAAATATAGCTCAAATTTTGCAAGGTGTCCAAATAGCTTTTTTTTTTTTTTTTTTTTTTTAAAAAAAAAGAACATAATTTGAGGAAAATTAACGTTGGGGTTCTTTATTCTTAGCACTAAAACAAAAAGTATGCCTCAACACATGCTAGAATTTTGCAACATAAGCAGAAAATACCATATTTAAATATCTGCTTCAATCAAGATAACAAACAAACATATCAGCATTAACAAAATTAGAAAAAAAAAAAGTTGTGCTTTGATTTGAAAAATAACAAGACTTTTGGTTTGATGAAATACTGAAGTCATGCAAGGAACATTTGAAAAAGGATATGTATGTATAAATAAATAAATATAATGTAGCAGTAAACATAACCTGAGACTGAATTTGTAAAGTTTTGATTTTATACTAACAAGCAGTTACAATTGAATTTACTGAGTTTTGATTTTATACTGATGAGCTTTTAAAAATAATTGAAATTATGAGTTTTTTATCTGCACTGTTGTTGTTGAGAAGATGGAGGTATGTTTGTCACATATATACCAACATTTAAGAATTTATCATATTTATAAAAACTGTTGTTATTTTATAATTTTGTGCTTGAGACTCCTTTTTAAAGAATTTTAGATAATTTTGCTAAGTTGCTAAAAATAATTCTATCATGTCACCAAATTTATTCTTGGCACAAATTTTTTATTATTGTCAGATCATAAATGTGATTAAAATAAGTGTGATTTAAAATTTTTTCTTTAATAGGGCTTTCTTTTTCTAATTATCTTTCTGATATGTGAATTCTTTTTTTGCAAATTTCACATTTCATGTTCTGCTAAATTTTTTGTAGAAACTTTCTGATTTTTACTCTTATGACGTTGGCGGACATTGTTAAGAAAATGTGGCAGTCTTTTTTCTGTTTAATTGGAATTATAGAACAATTTCCAGTAAACAATTTTGTAATATAGGTGTATTAGAAATCTGTTTAGTTTCAAATCTTAGTTTGTTATAATGAAGTAATGTGTAGTAGGAAAATGTGTATTCTCTTACAAAATAATTGCTCTGTTTCATGATGAGGGGGCTGAATGGTCTTCACATATGAAGAATTATTGTATGAAAAAGCTTTCTTAAAATTATAGTATGATTCTAATACTTAAAGCAAATATGTACTGCTAAATCCTTTGAGACTTAAACTATAAAACATTAGGAAATAATTTTAGAAAATTAAATTAATATTTATTTAAGAATAAGGGCTTGATAGATACTTTACTATTTGAATAATGTTTGAGTAGATATAATTTTTAATTACGTATGTTAAGTTGGAATTTTTTCTTAGTAATTATATTAATGAGATTGGAATATTATTTCTGAATTTTTTATTAGTGTATAGCTTTTTCTTTACATCTGCAAATAGGTTCATATAATAATTGTTATTGTGATGGGCCGGTGATGTTATGTACAAGGATATACTAATAACTGAATTTAAATATTTGTATGCTGAAATTTTATTATAGTGTGATATTTTTTAAAACTTTTATTCTAATAAATCTAAAATCTAAAAATTTTAAGATTGTATTAAAGATACTGATGTTAAATATGATTGTAAAAAAGATATTGATGTAAAGCAGTTTATCTGTTTTAGTTCTGTGGTATGATTCTGTCAGTCATTCTTTAGAGAAGGAGGGGTACAGTATGCAAATAAATAATAATTTATAAATATGCAAAACATCTAATAAAAATAAATAGAGCAAAAATTGAGAAATAGTAAATTGGCTGAGTAATTTTGCATTCGTTTGAGATTTAAAACTCTCATTGAAGTTGTTTATAAAGTTCTCCAAAAAGTAAATATATTTCTGCCATAGTTTATGAACAATTTTGCGACATATTTTTGTTCAATTCATTGTTCAGCGAAAGAAATATATGATATACTTCTCAGTGTACTTTCTCCAAAAATTTTGGCTTAAAATGTGAATGCTTGTCATGTATGTATTCTAATAATACAGCTATATGAATTTAATATTAAAATTTTGATAGCAATATACAAATAATTTTGGAAAAATTATCCTAAAACCATTCCTTTAATCTTTGCTTTATTGAAATTCAAAACAGAAATATTAAGACTTTAAAATTGTTTTAAAACTCTCATTTCATTCTTTGTTCTATTAAAATTCAAACCTGAATGTAGTTTTTGCAACTGCTTGGGCATTCAAACTTAGGAATTTGGAAAAATTGTCTTGAAACCACTGAACTTTTTTTTTTCTTTTCAGAATTTAAAACAGAATATTTTTGGCAAGTACTCGGGCATTCAATTTTTGTTTTTGAAAAACTTTACAAAGCACTTAATGCATTATGACAACCACCTTAGTAGAAATTACCAGATTTTTCATAATATGAAAAAAATTGTCAACCATGTGCATAACCAACCATGCTCATAACAGTCCCACAATTAAGCAGCATCACCATTTTCACTTTTTTTTTTTTTTTTTAATTTAGAGTTCTAATGGTTTTATTTTTTAAATGTGATTCCCCTCCCCCTTAAACTTTGTGCTTGGGGAATTTGGCAGAACTGAAGAAAGTGTGCTGAAAGTTCTGCAGGAATATAGAATTTTGCCTCAAAATCTCTAATATGAACATTGAGGAGATGTGTTTGGTAAGTACAGGTTTCAGCAGTATTGAGTCTTTGCAATTCTCTGATGGTTTTTAATACTTGAGAATAGAACCTAAAAAAATTACAGAAACATTTGGTGACGAATGTAAGCATTTTATTTTTTAATATATAAGCCTTATTTAATAATTAAAATTTGTATTTCAAATTGCTGAATTATGTTTTTCATATGTTGTAATGTTTGCCAACTTAAGATAAATATCAATAGTTTTGAAATCTTTCTATAAAAAATTCACGAAAACAATGAGTTTGCACCCGATAAGTAACTTTAATCTAGTCATCTGTACAAAGTAACCAGATTGTGGCAAGGTAATTGCATTAATATGTAAGTACTTATTGCAAAAATTACGTAACTACTGAGTAACACATTTATACAAAAGTGTTTTTATAAATTGCAGGATAACTCTTGATCTGTAGTTACTAAATGATTGACTTAGTAGCTTTGTACTAAATATAAACAGAACGGCAAGAGAAATGTAAAACGATAATATTACCCGAGACCAAAAACTTTTCATCTTTTAACTTTGTATTTAAATATGGTAAATTTAATGCAAGCTGAAATCCTTGTGAATTGTAGTGTTTTTAACTTTTGTTGTGTCTTAAATAGTCAGTGAATGCAAGTGGAAGATATGGTCATTCCCTCATGTCAACTGTGCAAGAAGTATTAGGGAAATTATTGATGGTTGGAGTCACAGATGCTGGTTTGTACTGACTTTACCCCCTAGTATTTTTAAATCAAGTCTCTGTATAAAGGAAAATTTATTTAGAAGAGGAGGAAATTTAAGTTAAATTATTTTATAAAGATATTTGTCATAAATGTGCATTTAAGCAATATATTAGTACCTGTTGCTAAATATATACAGGGTGTCCAACTTGGTTGGGAGATAGAGAACATCATTAGGAATCATAATCACATAGGAAAGTATGGGTAGCAATACATGCTAGACATGGTAAATAAAGATATAGAAAAGGTAGCAACAGAAAGTGGTGTAAAAAATTTATTTTACATTAAAAGAGTGCAAAATTTTGTATAATTATCACAGTACACCCATTTGCACTGATGCGTACCTATGCAACATGCATTGGCGAACATTTTTGAAGATACCTGCCATTTCATGGATGGTAGTGGCAGCAATGCTGAATCATACCACCAGGTGCATTTTGGAAGTTGCTAGTATGTCATAAAGAATTTTCTTCTTAGTGTTTCATAGAAAATAATCCAAGGGAGATAAATCAGGTGATCGGGGGGAGGGGCATGCTATGGGGCTACAACCAAACAGTTTTCGAAGGTTTGATCCAAATGGTCGTGTACGAGTGTGTCATAATATGATGATGCCCCATCATGTTGAAACCAAATTTAACAATGAACATGTGCAGGGATAGTGTCAGGCAGTTTCAGAAGAGCCTCCTGAAGGAAGATCAGGTATTTGTGACTGTCCAGTTGAAGTGGTAAGAAGCATGGACCAAGGACATAATCTGCCATGATTTTTACCCACACACTGACATTCAACCGATTTTATGTGATGTGTGTCAGGTTAAGTGTGGGTTATCTACATCCCACATATGTGCGTTGTGCATATTGAAAAACCCTTCACATGAAAAACCCTTCACAAGGTAGCTCACACAAAACAGAACCGGAAAACTGCAGTCAGGCTGAGTTTGAAACCATTGTGCATATGCGACTCATCACAGGTGATTGTATGGCTACAATAATCGAGCTCTTTAAAGATGATAGGAATATAAATCCTTGCTGTGCGGAACTTGGCAGACAGTTGCCCGAGAGGATCCAGTGACGGCCACAAGCACCTACTGGGAACCAATGTATTGATTTCGAGATTTCATTCTATGGTATACAACAGTGCTTCTTTCCATATTGGGTGTTCATACTGTTTGCAGCTGCTCAGTATTCTGCATCCTTCCTGTGAGAGATCGATGTTCCACAAGGTTCTGATGTAGAGTGAACATTTGATGGATATTTTTCTTGATACAACTGGTGCATCAGCACATCCATTTCCATAGGCAAAGTGCATATCCGTTAAATCAGCATTCATTAAACAATTCTTGTTCACCATGTTCTCTACCTTCCTTCCAAGTTTGTTCACAAATTTCTAGAATACCCTGTATAATAAGTTGCTGTTAACTTTAATCTTTAATTTTTACACTAATAACCAGATGCTGTTTGTGTCATTCTTATTCTTGAATAAAAGAATTTTTATTTATGTTTATATATCTGTTACATATATATATTTATGTTTGTATTTTGCTTTTATTTGCATTACATTTTTATTCTGCAGTTTTTACATAACTATAGACGTGTAAAGTTTCTACTGTTGATAATTATTGCCGCATATTTCTAATGCTGTAGAAGCATTGTATAAATTTTTTAGAGTTGATGGAAATTTGTTATTCATTATGTGTCTCATTTTTTATTTTCCTCCACTTTTTGTTTTATTTTCTTCATATTAAAACACCTAATTTTTTAATTTAATTGAACATGAAAAATATCAATTAGTTATGTGACAGAATGTAACTTTAATTATTCTCGCTTGTTCTGAACTCATTTAATAGATATTTTATAGCAGATATTCTGCAGAGTTAATTTTCGTATTTAAAAATTTTTATTGCATATATTGGGATAAAATTATTTAAAAGTTATTTTTAATATGTTTGTTGCTGTTATTATAATCCTCACACAAATGTCAAATTATGTGTTTTCTCTTTTAGATCAAAATGTGCGGTATTGTGTGCTGGCATCATTGGATGAAAAGTTTGACCCTTACTTAGCTCAATCTGAGAATTTGAATGCACTATTTATAGCTCTAAATGATGAAATGTTTGAAATTCGAGAATTAACACTTTGCACGGTTGGACGTCTTAGTGCAGTAAACCCTGCATATGTGATGCCATCCTTAAGGAAAACTTTAATTCAGGTACATGTTTTTTTTTTTTTACAAAAAGAAAATTGCATAAGTCATAAAACATAAGTCGAGCATTTTTAAGCAGTCTTTATGCGAGAAAATTTGTTAAAACTGAAAAATTTACTATCCTCTGCTGTTAACTTTGTGATATGTCAATGTAGTTTCATACATATTCTTACCAGAACTCTTCGCTCTAAGTCAAACAGCTTAATAGTCCCATTAAAATCAAAATTTCAGACTTTTGTTTTATATTTGTAAACTACCGAAATGTCCTGAAAGTAATGCAGCCTTCAAATGTAGAAAAGGCATGTTTCGAGAAAGAGGTCTTAATATTTTGCTTTCCTCAAAATAAAACAGCCTGATGTCAGTTACCAGTCTGCTGAACATTGGTAGCTGAATTTCAGTTTGAGCCTGGACAAATGGGGCAGTTGCTTAGGCATTTTCAGAGTTTTATCCGTGTTAATATGAATAAGATCCAGTTTATCTTAGAAGAATTTTAGTCTTAATATTTTAATGTTCTGATTTGTAACTGAATGAAATAATAAGCGAAGAACTGCTACTTGAAACATATTTGATGTCCATTTGTGATTATATTCATTTATAAAATCTTTTGAAATGTGGTTGTTTACCTTTTAATCATATTTAAGTGGTTTAGCCGCTCTTTCTTCTTTTGCTAGTGAAGTTTTATTCTTTGCATTTTTACGTTAGGCATGTACACTCACGTTCTTATTTGTTTAGGCTGGTAACCCTCACATGCTTTACTGTGATTATTTAAATTTATCACAAAATATTATATGTGAATTCTGTGACCATTTTTACTAAATTCTGCTGTTATACCCCAACCCTATCAGAGTGAACTTACAAATTCATTATAGCACATTCTTAAGCTTTCCTGCCGACATTTCTGAACCTGGTTCCGATAATAGTACCGGAGTGATATATTATTGTATGATAGCTATATGTTTCATGTAAAATGTAGGCATTAACTCATTTCCATGCTAATGAATATCAGTATTGTATGCAAGATGACCATTATTTTGAAACGGAATTGGAAAGGAAGAAAAAAAAAAACATTTAAATTGCAATCAATAAAATTAAAAGATCCTGTTATTTCTTCTATTATATCTTCTAATTACACGTTATTTCGGTTTCTTTGCTTTATTTTTAGATAATATAGCTTTCACTCAAATACAAAGTAATTGAGATAAATTTTTATCATCAGTATTCTAAGAAAAGTGTATTAAATTTCATTAAAAAAATTTGAAGATTTAAAACTTGTATTATAAATATGTATTCTGAAGTACCATGAAGAATATCAGAGTGAGGCCAGGGCAGATATGTTGATTTCATATACTGTGAAACCTTTAACTCAATAACTGTTAGCTGAGGATGGTGGTTCGGTAAAACTATCGAAACTAGTCGTGTTAAATTTTGAAAATATAACCCTGATTTTTGTTGTTTGACTTCTGAATTAGTATTTGTTCGGCGTGTTATTGTGTCTTAATCGGTGACATCTCGGTTTATTTCCTTTAAATTACTTTATGAGTAATTTATTTTATAAATTTAGTATATTTTCTTGTTTGTATATATTTCAATATTTCCATTTAGATTCTAACTGAGCTGAAAAATTCTGGAATTGGTCGTAACAAAGAACAAAGTGCAAAGATGTTGGGTCACCTTGGAGCTAATGCACCTCGGCTTATTAGACCGTACATGGAACCTGTGCTAAAAGTAAATTTTATAAATATGTAGTTCTCTTAAAGTTTTGATTAATATTAGTGTCTGGATTAAATTCTTTACATGATTATGGTGATAAATGAAAACACTTTTTATTATGTATTGCTTTCTTTATTAGTTTCTGATAAAGTGATTTAATTTATTAAAAAAAAGTTCCATTATTTATTGTATTTCTCCAAGAGGCCACTGTTTTTTTAATGTTGCAAAAAAAAAAAAAAAAAAAAAAAATTATTTAAGTTTTTAAAAAACCATGCAAAATTAATAAGTTATTGATTTTAAAGTAGGATTTTCACCCAAAGACTTTTCACAGATGCATATTTCTTTTGGTGTAAAAATAAATATTGGTTCAGACAATATATGTTACTATTATTTTCATAATCTAATAATAAAATGAGAAAAATTAAGGTACAGCATTTATTTGTTTGTGTTTGCAATCATGTTATAATAGCAGATGTCACCATAAATCATCAACAAATGATATTTTGCAAGTATGTTAGAATGGCATTCACACACACTTGCATGAAATTTACTGTAAGGATCAATGGTGGTGATCTCATGGCTGATAGCATATTTCAGATGAGACAAGGAAGATGAATTTCTAGTGTATATTTGAGATTTTCAAGTAGCTCCATAACCCAAATATGCAAGAGTGAAATCTAGAGATATTAAGAAAGCCATGCATTTTTGCTAGGAAAATCAATAATTGTTAATGATCAAATATATTTAGAAATGGATGAATTATCAGTAACTGCTTTCTCAGATAATGCTATATGACAAAGCTCTTACATAAAAATGATTGTTGAGAAGATTCTTTTGAACACATGCATGATACAGCATATTTGTTAAGTATTTATTGTTCATTAGTTATGGTAAAGGCCTTCCATCCAGGGCTGTGGAATCAGTAGGAAAAATGACTGACTCCGACTCCAGGAATTTTAAAGACTCTGACTCCCTCGTATATATATATATATATATATATATTTACCGCTTTTTAGTTTTGATGTTTAGCTAGTTAATACTTTTACTAATGTTTTAAATATACCATAATTAGATTAGCATATTGCTTACTATTAGTATTGATTTTTACTTGTAAATAATCACATGTTGAATTTTTCTCTTATAACACATTTCATTGCTACCTATTTTGCTTATGTTAAAATTTTCATGGAACTACAGTATTTCAGCAGCTTTTTAGCATTCGAACTAGGATTTTTCTTTTAACATTTTTAAATTTTATAGCACAATGCACAAAGTTTTTTACCACATAGGTCTTTTATCGTTTGTTCTTTCTACTTTACTTTAAATTATATATATATATATATATAAACATATACACATGGGTTACAGATTTTTTTATTATAAAAGAAGTAATAGATGCTATAGAAAAAAAATGGTCGCATAGCAAATTATTTATATTAATTAGCATTTATTATGAAGTGGAAAAACTGGCATTATTATTTCTAAGAAACAGTATAGCTTCGGCAAGATCTTCTTTGTTGGAGGACCATAGATCCGATTTCATAAACTTCAGAGCTGAGAAGAGTGTTTCCACGCTGACTTATGCAGGAGGAAGAGTTGTTATTGTTAGGGCTACTTCTTTTAACTTGTCAGGATAGATTTTTATAAGTTCTAAAAGAGGTGTCTTGCAAGAGCAATCATATTTCTGTATTTCTTGAAAGTCTGTGTAGAAATCTTGTTGTACTTTTATATCTAAAGGCTCTTGGTTCTTTGTTTTCATTTGCTTTGCCTTAGCCTTTTCAATATTATCAAAAAATATTTCTCAAAATCTAATTCATAACTGGAAGAGGATGATAGAGACACAGTTGCAATGTCTGCAGTTTGACTGTCCTGATTTGAATACTCCAATTTTTCTGAAAATAATTTAATTTTATTGAAAGTTCATAGATGGCTTTCTTTGCCTTCTTAATTTGTTCGTCGTCCAACAAAATTTGGTGTTTTGGATCTACATATATTGAACCCAGCTGGATATCATTATCTAGCAAACTAGTTTCTCTTTTCTTCACTGAGGAAATGATTCCTTCTCCAATAAGCCATCCATTTCAGAAAGAACAAACATCACATTTTCCCATTCTCACCTCCTGTTAATTCTTCAGATTGTAGCTTTTTTGTGGCTATATACAGTGTAGAAAGAAGAGTTTTCAATTCTGAAAAATAATTCCACACTCTTTCTGTTTGTGAAACATTTTCTACATCTTCTAAAACGTTCTTAATTGTAACAACCTCCATATCATCAAATATGTACTTCCCCATCGTGTTGCTTGAGCAATAATTGCTCCTTTTCCTGCTTGCTTCCTAAGAATGGCTTCAATTTTGGGAGTTCTCGTTGCTATTGCTGCTTACCTAAATTTACCAGTGAGATTTGTAACTAAGTGAATCAGCTTAATCACTACTGGCAAATATCACATGCATCCTCCTCGCTTAAATATGTTTATTAATATGTCAATAAAATAGAAAATAACTATTTATTAATGTATATAATGTATAAATAAAAATAATAACTCAGTTTGTCATTGCGGTTTTTTTTTTTTTTTTTTTTTTTTTTTTTTTTTTTTTTTTTTTTTTTTCCCAATTCACTTTAATTTTATTTCAAATTCAAATTCCAACAAAAACTGGAGTCGGAGTTGACCTGTTTTTAGCCACTCCAGCTCCGACTCCTTTTTACCCCAAAATCTGCCTAACTCTGATTCCAATTCCATGACTCTGACTCCACAGCCCTGCTTCCATCTACTCATTTCACATAGTTTTTCAGAGAAGAAAGACCCATAAACAACTGGTGTACTGAATTCTGATTGTATAGTGAATTGCAGTACATGTAATTGTTGCACAGCATATTCATATGAATTGTCTTTAGCCTAGATTTAGCAGTTATGTATATAAACTGTCCTATTTAAAGGAAATTGAGTTTCATAGCTTCAAACAGTGTTAAAAAAATCATTAATCTCCTTTGACCCTTGCAAGACTCACTGGATGAATTCTTTCCACATCTGAGCATTGTGTAATTTTAGCTTTTGCAGAAATTTGAGTGTTTATGGGTACGATTTAATAGCTGTGCATATGTAGAACACTCATAAGTTAGATATGCTTATGTTTTTGGCAATTTCCCATACACTGTATACAGGACTTACTGATTGTGCCATTATAGAACTGATCAGATAGGCCTTTGATAACTTCAGTTGGCTGTTGCAAGGATATCTTTCTAGCTATTTCGCTGAAACACTCTATTAATTCTAAATGCTCTGAAACATTGTATTGACTTCATTGCTTAGCAATTTTTAAACAGAATTTTTTTTTTCTCTTCTGAGCATCATTGTTTAGTTTCAGATTGTGCAGAAATCGTACTTTGTATGGGTATGATATTAACACTCTCGCTGCATAATTTTTTTTTATCAAAATAGGTTAAAAAATTCTGGATTTTTTATTACATAGTTCAAATCTACTTATATTTTAGAGTTAAATTTTTGTAAAAGACTTTTTTTTTTTTTTTAAATATAGAATTAGATCATAAAAAAAAGTTTGTTGGAAAAATTGAAATTGAAGATTAATCATATAAAAGCAAAATTTTGAAAGTTTGTTTGGTTAAATTATGATTTATTTTATGAAATATAAAGGTAAAACACATATACTAATGAAAATATGCAAAACACATACAAAACATTTATTAGAAATGAAGTTTAGTATGATAAACTTCGAAACAAGGCTCAATGCCAATTGCCTGTTTGTTTCTTTTTAGCAACAAACAGCACTTTGTCTACAAGGCTCTTTCTTGATGGCATTGCGAGGTGGGGGTATATGGCTAGAAACATATTAAGCAGTTAGTCTCATGGGACTGAGAGTTGAACTCCACCACGCTATTTGGCTGGAATTTCTCCAAATCAATTTGGCTGGAATTTCCATCTGAATACTTCAGAATGCTTAGCTCAATAATTTGCAAATAGAACCCTAAAAGTATTAATATTTTACATTGGGTTATCCGTTTTATAAAGGATATAAGCATTCCCCAATGATGGCCAAGAAAAGGAAATGAAGCAGGAGCTGGTGCATATCATATCATGCATTTTCATATAATTTTGCACCACTGTCAAAGGCTTTGAATAGAAACGAATCTTCAAATTCATCACTCTCCATAGAGGAATCCGAGAAATTCTGATCAGTTTTGTTATGACTACCTTCAATATATTTGAAATAAGAGTCAGAACTGTGAGTGTCGGAAATATTGTCAGGAATGTAGGTAATATCACTTGCGAAACACTTCCTGTCAGACATCTTTGTGCTTTGAAAAGAGTGCGTAAATAGTGCAAAACATGCTTGTATATTCTGAGAAATATGGACAACTAATGCCATCTGTTAACCCAGATCTGAATAAACAATTAAAGATCACAAAAAAGCCGAAATGAATGGGAAAAGAGTGGGTTGCACAGTTAAATAGACGGAAAAAATGCATCTCCACGGAAATCGCGGGTTGCGCAAATTTTGCTATTTCTACGTTGCCCGTGGAAATCGTGGGATACACAGCGAGAGGGTTAATACACTAGGCATAACGTAAAACACACTAGTATTAGATGTGCTTAGCAACTTCCTGTTAACTATATAGACCACTCATATCACACTATTGTAGTATATCCATTTGAAATGCTGCAATTATGCCATAGGCCTCCAAAAACTTTAGTCTGTTATCAGGGCCAGATTTACGTATAAGCTACACAAGCTATAGCTTAGAGCTTCTACTTTCTTGTGCCCCCCAAATTAAAATATAGTATAAAAATATAATACACTTATAAAAGGCCCTATATCTCAAATAACTTAGAGTTTTGTTAAGTCTAAATCTGGCTCTGTCTGTCACTGTGATGGTGTCTTCCAGCATGAAGCATTATATTAATTTTCTATTCCCATTAACAGTCACCGAATTTCAGCATTGCATCATATTTGTTCAAAATTACCATATGGTTTCTGTAACCAATCATTACTTACATAAAGCAGTTTCACCAGAAGCACTTTATCTTCCAGCTTCAACAATATGTTTAACAGTTTCAGTAATTTGATTTGGAGGAAGCACTAATAAACTAGCAGTTGATCCACTGGCACTATTTTTATGCACGATCAAAATTGAAACAAATTCCAATTCAAAAATGAAGATAAATTTCATAGCTTGATCCTTTGTGCATTTCTAGGGTTTATTGCTGGAGAGGCTGCCATTCTCTAAAATCTAAAACTTCTGCTATAAAATTAACAATACATTATTTATTTATTATACACACTCAGAATATGATTCAGAGAACTCTGTAACATAAACAAAAAAAAGCAAAGAGGAGAGTCGTCAAAAGTCTGAGGGCATTCGCAGATGCCCAAATTCTATTTTATGTTATGGAGAGTTGTGACAACTCTGGTGCTTATCCCTTTTTAGAGTATTTAACCCCTTCGCGCCGACTGTCACATATACATGCCAGCAACGAACACACTTACTACCGGCCGACACGCAGGCGTGCCAGAGGATTGTTCCGTTCTCTACCGACTGTCACGTATTTGTGCCAGTACTTTGGAACATTTTTCAAACTATAATTTCTGCCACAAGATGGCACTGTATGTCCATATGGTTTCAGATACATGCACATTAGACCTTCTACTCGAAAAGAGAGAAGCATGACTCACATACATGTGTTTTTGATTATATAAACAAACGGGGAAATAAATGTTTCCGAATGGCGTGATTTATGACGTCTCTTTAAATCGCACTTTATTCGCACGTGGTAGTTGTTTACTGTAAGTAGAGAAGTTTTATTTTCTCTAAAGCGTTGGTATTTCGGTTTACAGTTCAGTTTTTTAGAAATAATTAGATCTTGTTAGACGTGAATTCTTTCTGTTTTTTCTGTTTTTACCGTTTCAATGTCGAAGCGTCGAAAATGTTTTAACAGAGCATGAAATAGCAGAAATGATGCAAAATATTTCAGATATTGATTCTGAAATTCTGATATTCTGATATTGATTCTGAAAGATTAACTGAAAGACATTTTCCAAAACTTTGTTCAGAAGAGACTGATAAAAAAAATGAGACGACGATGCTTTGTTTGTTCACATTCCCGGAAAAATCCTCCAAAACGGCAAATGAGTTATTACGAGTGCAAAGAATGTAACGTAGGACTGTGTGTAGATCCTTGTTTTCAAATTTTTCATACGAAAAGAGAATTTTAAGTAATATATTTAGTTTTTAGATGTATAATGTTAAAATTCATAAAATGGTGAGTAATTAAAATAAAATGTGTAAAATATGCATTTAAACAAGAAATAAGGTAATTAAAGTATATATATAAAAATATTTATAAAGCGTAAGCCGTTTAAATACTCTATAGAGCATTATTAAACAATGCGTTGATACTTCAGAAATTTCATGGATTTAGGCTTAGTAGCAAAAAAGCCCCCGGCCCTGGAGAGATGCTCGCGTAAGACACTGCCGGCCTCAGCGATAAGCGCGCGTTTTCGCTACCCGGCTCGAAGGGGTTAAATTCGCATATTTTTATGATAATAATAGTGAAAATTTGAACTGAAATTTATTGTTTATGACCTCTTCCCTAAACAAAAATTCACTTATGTGTAACCTCAAGTTTGCATTTGAACCTCACATTAAAATGCCAGTTTGTTAATTTTATATGATTTTTAAAAAAGTGTCCGAACTGATGGGATACCCTGTATGTATGTTACATTTTGACATGTCACTGTTTTGGAAAGCATTTAACATAAAATCTTCATTTTGCCCAAATCATAAATATGAAACATTTTGACAAAATTGTTGTTGTTATACCATATTATTTCATGCGGTTTCATTTTACTTTGGACATCAGTGCTAAGTGACTGAAGCCAATTAAATACTGACAGCTGCATCACGTATTTGATTTTTGATGGCAGAGTGGCATTTTTCCTTGTGTGTTTTCTAGGCTTTCCTAATATAAGCAATTTAATGTAAATACTATAAACTAATTAGTTTTAAATAAGTCATCTGCAAAGACCTCCAACCTATGAAGAAAGCTTTTGCAGTAATTTATGTAAACAACATAACTATTTGTTTTTGATGAATAGAGTAATGTGTTATAGAGAAGTGCTAAGCCCCTGGCTGATCTATTTTGATAAGTTTTTCTCTTCCTTATGCCTTTTTGTTTATAAAACAGTCTTAAACTAAATATTTATAGTTGTATTTTCTATTTATTTTTTAAGGTTTTTTTTTCTATTAGTGAAATTTAACTTAATAATATTTATGACATTCTTGTTTTATAATATTAATCGTAATGTATCAGGATAATATTTTTATTACATAATATTTAAGCTGTTTTAACAGAAGTATTAAATATTATTGGAGACAATAAGAAATCATTAAATCTTTTATATTTAATAGACATAGAGGCAAGTTTTGTAAAATATTACACCTTTGTATTATGAATAAGATAATCTTTGAATTAAAAGTGCATAATGATGTTAACTTTTGCAGAGTTCATATTTATGAAATACAGTTGAGGATGGTAAAAGTAATGCATATATTTTGTGTTTCATTAGGTGCTTATTTCAAAACTGAAAGATCCAGATCCAAATCCTGGTGTAACCATAAGTGTACTCGCTGCAATTGGAGAACAAGCACAGGTTTTTCTCTTTTCTTTTATCAAAGAAATAAGTCAAATCCTTTCTTTAATTCTTAACTCTTCTTTTTTTTTTAATTTGTGGTTTTATTGTTGCAAGATAAAATAAAGTATTCTTCTTCATCAAATTTAAATAAAAACATTCTGTTAGTAATATTAATTTGAAGGTATAGTGTTTTGTGCAAAGGCAGTTAATGATTTAATTTGAGGTTTTTACTAATATACCACTTTATGTTTCATACAGTTTTTTTTTTAATTTATTCAGTTAAACAAACAGAAATGTATAGCATAATAATGGTAGTAAAAATGGATGAATTAAAAAAAATTGAGGATACCACATGACTTGTATGACCTATTAAATTATAGAAATTTTTTGTTGCACTTCATTCAAATTTATTTCTTCAAATTATTTTAAGTTAACCAGTTCTTCAAGGCAGATTGAAAAATCACATCAAGAATTGCAAATTTTGAAATTAAATATCCCAATCAATTTTTGTCATTCAAGAGTCAAATTTCTTATACAGTCAAAAGTCGTTAATCCGGACTCGTCGGGACTTCGGCGATTCTGGATTATCGATTTTTCTGGATTATAGATCATCAGTTTAAATCTCGTAAGATGGCATGCAGAAATTCTAAAATTAAAAATATGAAACCGTAATTTATGAAATAAAGAACAATTATGATCAAAATTTACACAAAAAAAAAAAAAAAAAAAAAAATCTTAATATTTATTTGGTTACTTTATTAAACATTTCTTTCAATGTAAGTTGTTTAAGTTGCTTCGTTTTATGTGATAATACTTTTCTCTTAATTCTATAAACAGACATAATTTCTTGTTCGTTGCAAAGTTCCGCTGTTCAAGTCCCGTTAATTGCTGTGCCGAGAATACCGACTAACTTGTCAATCGAAATTTTTTCGTTTTTTTTCACTAACCTCTCTGTCACATTCTTCATGTATTTATCCATTTTTTGCAGCAATTCCACTTTTTGTTTGTTGGACATCGAAACATACTTTCGTTTTTTATGGATCCTTTGGAAGTTCCAGCATCGGAAATTCTATTTGACATAATCAAAAGTTTCAAGTTTACTTTTATAAAATTGCTCTTACAGTCTGAAAAAAATAATAAGCGGGATCCAATTCGAAGATTAAGGAACAACGCAATCATTAACATTAACTGAAATAGATAATTAGATAATTTTAGCTTACACCGTCCGTTAAACGCGCAGGCGAAAATGTATTCTGCACTTGCGCACACGCATATGCGCAGTAGTCAAAGTCTTACGCGCACGCGTAAAACGCCTGTGCACATGTGCCAACGCGGCGCATGCGCAGAAAGTTTTTAGCTTTGAGGTCCGGGTTATAGATCATTCTGGATTATGGGTGTCCGAATTAACGACTTTTGACTGTATATATATATATATATATATATATATAAACATATTTTTCATAATGAGTATAAGTCTTCCCAAATATAAGTATAGGAAGCAGAAGATCACATTAAAAGTTAGATATCATTATTTGTTGAAAATTAAATTTTTTAAAAATTTTATATTACCAAAAAACACGAATATTTTTGTCATTTAAAATATTTCCATAATTGGAAGTATGTGACCAAGAATTGCAGAAAGAAAACCTGGGTGACAACAGTTCAAGCAGGATAAGGGGTGGGGTTATATTGAGTTATATATACAGTTCTGTATTGAGTTATATATATGGGATTAGAATTATGTATAAAGTTATATATCCATGTAAGATAAAAAATATGAAAGCTAACTTTTAATCTTAATTTACCATAAACTCTTTCATTTATTATTTAATTTGGGGACTTCTCTTTCTATCTTAAAAACAGCACTATTAATCTAAACTGCATCATTCAAATTAATCATGCGATCCTACATAACACTCAATGCAGATACCTCTTGCCCAATAAAATAATTGTAAACCAAAACTTTTTTAACTTGGAACTGAAACTTTTGTCTCCCTTCCTTCTTCCTCTCAATAGATGCATAACTTTTCACTTCAACTTCTGTGCTGCATAAATGCTTTGCTATGCTCGCTTCTATCGGCATAGTATCAAAAATGTAAATGTTATGGAAATAGGCATGATTGGATATACATGTTGCTGATGTGGTAAATAAAGGCGGTGCACAACCAGATGTTATACCAGTCTCATGTATAAAATTTCAACGTTTTACAGCAGATCATTTTTTAATTACTCTATACGCTTGTGTAATGTCCACGCTCATGTAATGTCTGCAACTCAACGTAACAGATAAAATTTATCTTGCAAAAAGTGATCCGCACAATATCCGCACCTCCTGAACTAAAGAATGTCTTTTTTAAAAATAATATATTCTTTAGTTCTGGAGTTTTGGATTTTCCTTTTTCCCTTTAATCAATAGCTTTAGACAATAAATATCTTTAAAGAAAGAATATGCATTTGTTTTGTCTTTGGTTTGCACCAGTATTGAAAGCAAAGACTTTCCTTGCATTCTGGTGCAGCTGTTATTCAGTCATAACATCGGTGCCAGCAATCCACTCGGCAGGCACGATTATAAATGAAGGTAGTCCAAAGATATTTTTACCACATTGGCTTCCATGAAATACTATTTTGTAATGAAATTACTTTTCCCTCCTTCCTCCTTGGAGCATTCGCATATTTCAAGCTTTTTCTTTTCATTCATAATATCATTTGGAATTCATGGTAGTTAGCAAGTAGTGTGCTTGAAATGGAAAAATGCAGCAGCTATACAGCAGCTTTTAAACTGAAAATCGTAGAACTTGCACAGGAAAATGGAAAAAGAGCAGCAGAAAGAGTATATAAGGCAGACGAAAAGTGTGTGTGCAACTGGAGCAAACTGTGTGATCAGCTGGCAGCAACAAACAAAACAAAACTTGCATTTTGTGGTTTGAAATGTAAGTTTCCAAATAATGTGTTAAAAGATATTAAATAAGATATTAAAAGAGGCAAACTTTAATTTAATTTGTGTAAAAAGTTTTTTTTTTTTTTTTTTTTTTTTTTTTTTAAGAAGGGGTGGGGAGAAAGGCTTTTGGATACGGAACTATATCTCAGATTAAAATTAACAAGCAGGAAACCAAATTATGTTGATCTGTCATTTCAAAGTATACAGTTTCATATTTCTCTTTGATCATAATGAATGTTATTTATAATATAACTGTATTTATATTTTATTATGGCTGAATTTTATTTTTCATTTATTATTATTTTCCTTATGTATTAAAAAGGAAATAAAATAATGTAATTGTTATTAAAGTATATGAAATTTTTTTTGTTTTGACGAGAGTACTACAAAAAATCAGTACTACAAAAATTATGGATGAGGTATACAGATGGCAAAAGTTTGGGAAACACTAGATAATACAGTCCTATCAGTGGTTGAGTGGTTACCACAGAATACTGAGCGTTTGACTTGGGTTCTATCCCAGGCAAGCAGGCTGGCTGCATAGTTGGTTTTTGTGCTTTTCCTCATGTGTAATATGCATATGGGGCAGTTTCCTTGAGAAAGTTCTCAATGAAGGCATCTCTCCCATTAGACAGATAACTCTTGTATACTTTATTAATGTAATCGCATTTTATCTAGATCATACACATACAAAGGACACTGTTTGATATGTTTCATCTGGACATTCATTTTCATCACTCTTGCTTACCTGTAGATATAATGTCCAGTACTTCCATCAGTCATGCTAGATAGAACGTTTGGCAATCCTATACTGTCCTACCATCGACTAATGACCGAAGGCAAAAAAATTCTAAAGTATTATGGGGGAAGAAGGAAAAATTGTTGCACATGTCCAAGACATTGGTGATCTTTTTTTTTTCTTTTCCTTTTGTAAATTCATTTGAAAATTGTAAGATGGAAATGCTAAACACGTTTCTCGAGTTTATGCATGAACTAAATAGATTAAATTTGAAGTTTATACCATCCTAGACTAGTTTTCTGAAACTTAACATTTATGAAAAGTGAATAATTAAAATTTTCAAATTTTTCAAAGCCATGACAAATTTGTATTTTTACCATAATATTTCATCATATTATACCTTTATTTTAATAATTTTTATTTTTAATTTTCTTAAGTATATTTTTTAAAAGATTTGAATATTTTAGTGAAGTTCAGAAATTAAAAATACGTCTTCTTTTGCAGGTCAGTGGTACTGAAATGAAAAAATGGTTGAAGGAACTTATGCCAATTGTTCTTGATATGATGCAAGATTCATCATCTTTGCCCAAACGTGAAGTATGCTATATTTTTTTTAAGAATGATTTACTTATTGTATTTGTCATTTTACATAATAGAAGTGCACTCCATTCTCAAGTAACTGAAGGTGGATTAACTAGGCTATGGATAAACTAGTCCTCATTAAAAGAAAAAAAAAAAAAAAGAAAGAAAGAAAAAAGTGTTGTTTATTTATTGCAGAATTATGGAGAAGATTTTCTCACAAACCATCAGAATAAAACAAAATTTCTGCCTGAAAATTTAAGTAGTAGAAAATGAGGGTAGTTAACAGTAATGATAAAAGATGATGTCATAGTATTTAGGATTCCTTTTTATCCACCAGCAGTATATAATTCAGTTATACACAATCTGAAATATTTAAACATCATCAAGTCTTCTGTTAAAAAATAATAAATCATAAAAAGGGTACATTAATTTTTTATTTCCCATTGACTTCTATCAAAATACTAGAGTAATATGAACAGAAACATTTTTATTTCTATTTTGAAAAGTGTCGTGTTTTAAATGCTGATTTAATTTACATAATTAAATGTACTCTCCAAACTAAACTGCCTAAAAATATGAATAAATTGTTAATTATATTTTCTCTGAATTATAATATGGGCTATTTCTTCCCCCACCTTTTTTTTAACTCCTGACGTATTAACAATTTTTTTTTGGTTAACTGTAGGTGTTGTCTCTTGTGTTACCCCACACTATCGGAAGACTGCTGTATTTTATTTTTTTGATTTTCTATCAATTATAGAAAATCATAATTAACAAAATGCAAAAGAATTTAATCAAACGAATTTTCCCTCATCCATTACTATATTTTCTTTTCCATCAGTACTGCTTAAAACTGAGAGGGGAAATGTATTTTCAAAACTGTATTTTTAACCAAATCATTTTATCTTTGAAATGCCTAATTTTAAATAATAACTGATATTTTAATGATGATATATGTAAATTTATTTCTTTTCATTCTTTAGTGAAAGTTAAGAATTTAAATTTCTTACTAATTTATTATCAACATTATTTATTATTAAATTAAGAATTATACTTAACCATCTGAGTGGCATGGATCTGCTTATGAAGAACTGTACTTAAACAGCATTTATTAGCTAAATTTGCATAATTATTTATTTTAGTTTCTGTTTTCATAAACTTGCATTAATTAAGGTGGTATTTACATCATTAAAGAAACTAAGAAAACAAAATATTTTAAGGTATAAACTGATGTCTACCAAAAGACTGGAAAAAAAAAAAATCTTATGAAAGGATAATGCTGGTCTTGCTGCTCAGGGTGTTAATGTGAACACTATTTATTGTGTACTGAATTGTGTAATTCAAATTATTTGTTAACATTTTATTGATTTTTACTTATGGGTATATAATATATTGTTACTTTTTAAAATTTAGGTTGCATTATGGACTCTTGGCCAGATGATTGAAAGCACAGGTTATGTCATTGAACCATATAAGGAATATCCCAATTTGCTGGAGTTGTTATTGAATTTTTTAAAAACAGAGCAGTCATCTACTATTAGAAGAGAGGTAAATTTTAGTATTACTTTTAGTTGAGTCCTTTTTTAGGTTCTTCATAAAGAGTTTCAATTATATCTGTGTTGTGGGGCATATGTTTTGTGAGTAATGGTGCGGCTATCTTGAGATACTGTAGCTGTTTTTCCTTCCTTCTTCTCTCTTTATTATATTTTATTGCCTATTCTTCCTTTTCACTGTGGTGCCTTTTCGGAGGCACGAGTTATCTGACAAGTGGTTTTTAAGTGGATCTTTAATGTTATTCATTTCTGAAAATAATAATGACTTGTAGACATAGATAGATGAAAGTATTATCAAAATAGCTAAATGCTAGCTTCTTCAGCAGCTATATATGTCTGGAATTGAATTCCACAATGCCATAATTTTAAGTACTGGCATTTTTGTTCATATTACTTGGTAGTCTTGCCAATTCAATTAATTCCAACACTTCTCTTATTTTGATAAATTTTTGAGTCCATATTAAATTAGACTAGAAATCACTTAGCTGCATTTAAATTTATTCAATTTCCAACTGGTTGTTTTCAATACTTATATTTTTTGGAAACAATATTCTTTTTTGAAAACTTGCAGTTTAGCTTCAAAAGCACAAATGATAACTATCGTAACGATAACTGTTTTCTTTTCACCTTGAGGTTTTACATTCAAATCATTGAAATACTGGCACATGTCCATAAAAAGCATCAATTTTGTAAGCCGGGTGACATCCATCACTTGTGAATATTGTTAAATCTTCCCTTCATTTTGTAAAAGCAGTCTGATTTCTTCCGTGCAATCAACAAATCATTGAAGTATGTTATTGCAGCTCAACTATCAAACTTTGTTGTTATACATCAGTATTATATGCGGAACATTGTGATACATGAGTATGCCATAGTACACTGAATTGATTTTATCTAAGAAAACATAAAGCTTTTGTTTATTTAAAGCCTGCAACAATATGAGGTTTACTATTTTAATGACTAGGGCCATTGTATTAGCCAGGGAAGTGAAACCATCCTTTGCACATAACGCTTGTTGATGTGTGATGCAGTGGAATTCAAGAATTAACTGTCCAGTATGTGTTTGAAATAAACTGATAAAACCATTATTTTTGCCAATCATACTGGGAGCAGCATCAATCGTTATTGAAACTATTTTATTTAAATATATTTCTTACTCAGTAAATGAATGTATTAACAGCCATGCAAATATCTGTGTCCTCAGCAGTGTTGCCAGGATATGGCGGTAGAGTATTTGAAGTACTTTTTTGTTGTTCTTTTGGTTTTCTGTTAGTTTTAGGATTTTGTTTTTTTACTGTGTTTCTAGATAAAGGAATATCTTTAGTGCACTGAATTATTTTACGTTTAATTTTCAAATAGTGATGGGGTGCATGCTGGCTTGGCTTCTTTCAAAAATTCTCCCTCACCAAAAGATTTACTATGCCAGTTAACAACTTATGCAGCCAAAAAATTTGCAGCACTGGTATAACAATCCTTGCTATTCATTGCATATACAATTAAAGAGTGAAATAAACAGTTGACTTGATCATAGACGTCAACTGTTTATTTCACTCTTTAATTGTATATGCAATGAATTCCTTTTGTCCTGGTTTGCTTTTTTTGACAAAGAGATTGGTGATTCGTTTCATAATACCGTTTTACAGGACATATTCTACATACCACTATTCGAAAACATAGAACGTACACCACTTTATTGCCTTTATTAATTGTGCCATATTTCTCAGATCACTAAGTTTGAAATTCTTTGTTGCTCTTATCTTATTTTTTTTTTTTTTTTGGTGTGTGTGTGTGGGGGGGGGTTCAAACTAATCTTGCTGAATAGTACTTAAAGTTGTAAATATAACTCACACAAACTTAAGCAAGCAAGTGTGTTAACAAGGTTCATTTTAAAACAATAAAAACTATACTAGTTACAGCTGATGTAAGTATACTAGTTACAGCTGATGTAAGTATGCATCAAATAAAAACAAACAAGCTTCACATCTCTCCAGCTGCCCATGCATGATCACTTCAATTCAAGCGAAACGGAAGAGCTAGGCATGACCACTGTATAATATTTAACTGTATTGTTGTAGTGTATAAAATATAGCGCACTGAAAGTTTTATTTTGGTTGTACGATTTTTATTTTTATAAATAACAAATTTCATGTTTTTATACAATAATATACATAAAATTTATAAAATATATATACATAATATTTATAAAAAATCTGCATAAAAATATAAATGTGTTGTCTATTTTTATAAAATATTCCAGTAGAAACTCGTATCTAGTAGTTCAACAAACTTTATTTCTTAACTGTGATCTGCACGACTTTTGGATCATCCTATATTAAGATCAACCGAATGAGATGTTCTGGCCATATTACAGAATTGATATAGGAAAATCAGTAATTGGACTGTAACCCATATTGGACTATCAAGCAGTTGGTGATTGATGACATGAAACTGAATTTCTAGGTCAATGCTACATGTATTTTGATTCTCTTGGCTATTGCTTAGATGTTGGACTGTGAGGAAATTTGATGAGACTAAATAAGGTTATTTTTTATTACAAAGTACTCAAGGTGTTTTACCTTAGGAAGGAATCCTTTATAGATGTCTAAGGCAAATTATGATCATTACACTTCAGGAAAAGTATAAAATCATCATGTAGCCTCCATGCATTATCATTTACCATTAGCAAAATTCAGAACAAATTTTCAGCATTTGCATCTTAGCTAATGATGTGCTTTAGATTTTAAGGAGGTTTTCCATTCATGAACTAACATTTTTTGTGCTGATAGTTGGGGCATATCTATAATTTTCTTTTTATATGCTTTGCATGTGGCTGCTAATTTGAAAGCATTCAACTAATACAATTTCAGGCATTCAGATAGCTGAAATTTGCCTTTTTGTTATGAGTTATATAATGCTTATTATTATGTTGTTATGCATTATTTATTTATTTATTTTTAGGCTATTCGAGTTCTTGGTCTTTTAGGTGCCTTAGATCCATTTAAAAACAAAGTCAACTTAGGCTTAATTGATCAATCTGGGGAGTCCAGTGGTGTTCTCAGTATTGGAAATACTACAACTGATAATCAAGGTACTTTATCTGTTTATTTATAGTACAGGCTTTGGTTTTGTATGATTGTTTTAAAACATATTCATAGCATTAACATTTGAATCATAGTTCATATAGAAACATGTAAACATTTATAAGAAAAATAGTCTAAAACAAGTGTAAAAGAGAGAGAGAGAGATAATATGAATGGTAAAGAATAGTTGAGAATAGTTTTTAAAAAATAAAAGAAATTCTAACCGAATATTATTGAAAATGTTCAAGCATTACAAAATGATTAAAAAGTATTTCCTTTTATTTATTAAAATAAATCAAAGGGAAAAGAACTTGATTTAATAAAGAAATTCACTTTAAAACATTTTCGGTTGCCACTTACTATATAAATTTCTTATACCCTGTACTTATTTAATTTTCTAATGCACATTTGTCTTACAGTTTTCAAGTTTACCTTGTAGTTAAATACTAAATGCTTATTCCAATTAATTATAATTGATAGTTTTCTCCAACATGGCCAATCGGCACAAGTTTTCTTTTTTAATTACTCTTTTTGTTCTAGAAAAAATTCTCTTTTATTACATATAGAATGAAAAATGTTATAAGATTCTTTATCTTCATTGCTTTTTTAACCAAGAGCATTTAATAAATGTACTGGCTACTTCATTCTGTATCAGCCTCAAATTTTTGTTTATAATAAAACATCAAGCTGTTTGTCATAATGGAAAAAAAATGCTGTATCATAATATATATGAAGCATGGTGACATCATTGGAGGTGGCACCACAATCTCTCTAGCCCTTGCATGCACATGCATCTGGCAGATTCTAATATTAAATACCAGTCATACAGATGTGTGGTATCACATATCTTTTCCTGCTATTTCGAGGCACTTGATTGTGATTCATGTTTTTTCAGGTTTAGTTAAAAGTTTGTGCACCCAGCAAGTGGTTTGCGATTCCACTTCATTAGCAACGCAGTGATTGTGATTGATGTTTTTTCAGGTTTAGTTAAAAGTTTGTGCACCCAGCAAGTGGTTTGCAATTCCACTTCATTAGCAACACAGTACAGTAGGAGTTGGTACTCCATGGAAAAGCATATGTTTATCATCTTTACAATGGAAAATCGAATCCATAAATAAAGACATATTAGGATAATTTATTGCTCAGTTGGAGGTTCAGAAATTGCCAACAAAGTCTTCCATTTAGTATTTAATGAAGAAAGCAACGAGAAGTTGTTGGATGTGCACAAAGATCCAAAACTGACAAAAATATTTATGCAAGAAATGAAAAAGGAATTGCTTGTGTAATGAAAAATGGCACTGTTTAGAGCATTGCAGTATCTATGTCTATCTGCCTACATGGTCGGCAAGCTCCCAAAAAAGTAAAGTTGTATGGCTGTCTGTTGCTCAACAGTTGCAAACAAAATGAAAAGAGTCAGTTATTGATTCCAGCAGTTTTTCAATAATCATTGGAAATCCTCAACTGTGTATGGCCCTTCAAAGAGTTGTGGTTCCATCTAAGCGAGGTTTTGAATTCTCAGACTATCTATCTTTGGGCCTTTGAGAATCCTCACACTGTAAACAACAAACACCTCGGCATGTTCAAAGAACTGGAATATATGTGCTTCATCAAGGTTCTGTATTATTAGTCTCATCGTTTTCTTAACAGTAATGGCTCAGAAGTCTACTTGGAAATCTTCCTTGGGTTTGTTAATAAGTTGAATGTTGAGGAATTCTGAAATAGATGTTTTTAAGAAGATGGCACTTGCCATACTTCAAATGACAGCATGTAAGACATTGTATATCTTCTTTGAAGATCATGTCATTTCCAAAGGACTTCAACCATCCAGATGGTTTGATCATATCTAATACTTTTGAGTTTTATGAGTGAAAACTGGGCTGAGAGCAAATGGAACATTTTTTATTATTGTGTAAAATATACTGACTGATTTTTTTATTTAATGATACAAATGATACAGAAAAGTTTGTTGCTCTATTTGTTTTCCATGCAGTATATTTCCACACAGTATATCTGAAATCCTTTGTTACTTTGTAAATTGTATTGTAAGCAGTAATATTCTTTGCATTAAATTTTAATTAAAGTATTTTAGATAACTGTGTGAAATCGGTAGTAATGATCATGCAGTTTTTAAAATTTTATTTAAAAGATTTAAGAAATTTTTTCCTCTTAAGAACACTTGACCCTTAAATGCATGTAGTTGCCATTTAGTCAGGTAAATGAAATCAAAACACAAATTTTAACTTACTGTATAGTGTAACCATTTGCATACATTACTGTTTACGTATATAGTTTTGAAAGTTTCGTTGTGGTGGCACCACTAATGATGTAACGGTCATTATTGCGAGTTGATGTGTAGAGTGTGGATATTGTTTGTGTTTACGAATTTTTGATATTGTGTTTGTTGTTATTTTGATGTATTCAAAGTTTTAAATTAATTTGAACAAGTTTATAAGGTATGTATTATTGTATTATTACATAAAATTGTTATTACATGTTTGCCTATCATATTTTGTTTTTGCAAAAGTTAATATTTTTTAAAAAATTGGAATAAAAACTTAGTTTGTATATTTTTAATATATTTCCTATTTGATTTGATATCAATTCTAATGTATTTTTGACTTAAAAATAAAAATAAAAATTTATGCATTTAAGGGTTAAGCACAATACAGTCAAAAGTCATTAATTCGGACACCCATAATCCGGACCTCAAAGTTAAAAACTTTCTGTGCATGCGCCGCGTTGACACATGCGCATAGAACCTCTTACGACTGCGCATTTGCGTGTGCGCAAGCGCAGAATACGTTTTCGCGTTCGCATTTTATGTATAACAAACGGTATAAGCTAAAATTATCTTAATTATCTATTTCAGTTAATGTTGATGATTGCGTTCTTCCTTAATTTTCGAATTGGATCCGGCTTATTATTTTTTTCAGACTGTGAGAGCAATACTATAAAAGTAAACTTGAACTTTCGATTGTGTCAAATAGAATTTCCGAATCTGGAGCTCCCAAAGGATCGTACAAAACGAAAGTATGTTTCGATGTCCATCAAACAAAAAGTGGAATTGCTGCAAAAAATGGATAAAGACATGAAGAATGTGACAGAGAGGTTAATGAAAACGAAAAAATTTCGATTGACAAATTAGTCAGTGTTCTTGACACAGCAATTATAGGACTTGAACAGCGGAACTTTGTAACGGAACAAGAAATGATGTCTGTTTATAGAATTAAAGAGAAAGTATTATCACATAAAACGAAGCAACTTAAACAACTTACATTGAAAGAAATGTTTAATAAAGTAAACAAATAAATATTAAGCTTTTTTTTGTAAATTTTGATACCCTTTAGATCATAATTGTTCTTTATTTCATAAATTATGGTTTCATACTTTTAATTTTAAAATTTCTGCATGCCATCTTACACGATTTAAACTGATGATCTATAATCCGGGAAAAATCGATAATCCGGAATCGCTGAAGTCCCGACAAGTCCGGATTAACGACTTTTGACTGTATTAATCATTGTAACTGAATCAGATATTTTAGGTCTGTTTATTCTATATGAATATAAAAGCTAAAACGTATTTTAATGAATTAATAAGTATACAGCATAGTGTTTCAATAATTACGAATTGCTGAATTTATATTTCAGTTGACCAGTTATTTTTATAGGATGATTATTGTGTTTCAGTAACTGTTTTTTTTTTTTTATTATTTGTTTACTTTGGCACATGCACACATAATTAATTTTTTTTTTTGGTCATTAGAATTTTCAAACAGTAATATTCACTAACTGTCAATGAGCTAGAAAAGATGGCTAAGGGGAAGGATTTGGTCTAGTGAATAGCTGACATATTTATTAAATTTCTGAGCAGTTATCGGACCCACCAGCGACCGAGCGGTAAAGTTGCTGAACGCTGGTAGTCCTGGTGAATAGGCTGGGTGCATGGGTGTTTTCATGGTTTTTACCATACGTAATGTGTATACAAGCCAGTTTCCTTTAGAAAGTCCTCCACAAAAGCATTGCTTCCTCAAGGCAGATAACTCTCGAGTGCTTTGCCATAATTAAATAAACTGAAATATAAGCAGTTATCATGGTAAATGTTTTGATGGTCAAAATAAAATCATATTGAAATTCATTATTTTTTCATAAAATGAATATTAATATATGAAACAATTGCAAAACTGCTTCTCTTAAACATTCACTTGCACAATATGTTTTATAAATTTGCTAAATAAAATCAATTTATGGATAGAAAAATATTGAACACACATTCAAATATGAATATGACATTTGAATATGTCAAATATAAATATAACACATAAAAAATGAATGAATTTTTTTGGGTCATTAAATAATAATACTAATAATAATTTGCAAGAATGCAAGTAAGAAGTTACTGACAATTTTTAACTTTGTATAAAGAAAAGAATTAAAGATTTTAATATAGTAAACTTGAGATCCCTAAAGAACATCAGTTAATTTTGGCAGTGTATGATAGTGGAGATCTGACATTTTGCATTGGTTCACTATAAACAGCGTTTCACTTTTCAAATTTTTGCCACCAAATATTAGAACCCTGATTATATTTAAAGAAATTAAATATTGAAGAAGCTGCATAAATGTATGTATGTTTCTCGCATTGGGATAAAACTACGGTACCTAGAGACATCAAATTTTGAATAGCATAGTCCTTCACCCAAACATGGGCATCCGGAAGTCCGAATTAGGAATTTGTTTTGTTATCTGTGTCATATTTTGTAAAACTTTTAAACAAATTTTTGATTAACAAAGTCAATGGTTTCAAAGTAAGCAATGGCAACAGGGGAAAAAAAAAAAATTTTTTTTATCTCCTGCGCATGATAATGTGTATCGGAAATTATAAAGATGTGCTCTTTTTGAATTATTTTGTGATATTGTTGTTGCGTGGAATTTTATGGTTTAAGTGCGAAGAACACGATATTTAATAAATAAAGGTAGCACACAAAACATTAAAAGAAAGGTCTTTTGGGTGTAATATAAAATCTGAAAACGTTCAGATTTTCCTTTTAATTCTAAGTTTAATAACTAAATTTATTAAATTTGTAACTGAATTAAAAATTTAAAAACTATATTAAATTTTTTAGTTATTAATTTCTTTTTTTTCTTTCTTTCTTTCTTTTTTTTTTTTTTTGTTTTGTTTTTGGTAGAAATGAGTGCTAGTGAGATGTTAGTAAACATGTCTGGAACTCTTGATGAATTTTATCCTCAAATTGCAATAGTGACTTTGATGAAAATAATTAGAGACCCTTTGCTCAATCAGCACCATTCGATGGCTGTCCATGCCATTACATTTCTTTTCAAAAGCATGGGAATCAGTGCAGTACCTTATTTGCAGCAAGTAATGCCATCTTTCATCAATGTTATCAAGACAGCCGATGTTCAGTTTCGGGAGGTATGCTTTTGTATTCACTAGTTATTATTAGTGTAATAAAAACATCTGTGTACTTAATTGTAAAAATACTGATTTTTTTTTTCTTTCAAAACTTTTTCCCTCTTCAAAATTTAACATTTTTGAAATGTTAAGTGCTGATTATGAATCTTATATTAATTATAACTTTCATTTCCCAGTTCCTGTTTCAACAGTTATACCAAATAATAAGCATTGTGAAACTGCACATAAGAAATTATCTTGATGATATTTTTTCCCTCCTTAAGGTAATGTATACTTTTCTAAAATTGTTTTTTGAATTTATTTGTTTATAGATGTGTAAATAAATATACATTATATTTTTCATTTTCTTTTTAATTTCAGGAGTTCTGGACTCCTCAGAGTCCAATGCAAAGTACAATTATTATGCTTATTGAACAAGTTGTAATGGCTCTTGGAGCTGAGTTTAAGATATATTTACCTGACTTGATGCCTCATTTCCTGAGAGTTTTCATGCATGATACTTCTACAAACAGGACGATAACAACAAAAGTAAAATTATTTCCATTTTATTTCCTTAACTTTTATTTTTAAGTATTTTGTTTGATTCTTCATTTAAATAAATGTAACAGGATTTTATTTAGAAATTTAGATTTTATTAATATTTATAATTTTACTACTACTTTTGAACTTAGAAAATATTGCTTCCTATTACAAGTTAACATAAAATGATGCTTCTCTTTCTCCCAGCTTCTTACAGCCTTGCAAAAGTTTGGAAATAATTTAGATGATTATCTGCATTTAATTTTGCCCCCCATCGTGAAGCTGTTTGATTCTCCTGATGTTCCTGTTTCTGTACAAAAGTAAGATAATGTTTTCATTTTTATTGGAAAAAGCCACGGTAACTCCCTCTTTTCAAATTGTTTTATTTTTATGTAACTAAATTATTGCCTTTTTAAGGCATGGCTATTTTGTAGTATAATTTAAAAGGAATAGGGGAAAAATTTCTAAGAGGGGCATGAAAAAGTATTTGGAATAAAAATAAATCTTTTTTTTTCCCATTTTGTTGTTTTGCTGTATGGGTACTATTCGGTTTCGAGGGCCGTAAAAAATCGCCAAACTATTGTTGATGCCAATGCTGCCAAAAGTAATTGCGGCAACCCTAAAGAAAGGAAGTATAATAGTAAATAACTATTTAAGATTGATGTTTTAATTCAGATGAAAGGTTAATTTCGTATAATACTTTTTTATTATTATAATTTATATGAAAAATGCTAAACATGACTGAATGGAAGCAAAAGAGTAAATAACTATTTCAGATCATTATTATAATTTATATAAAAATTGCTAAACATAACTGAATGGATGCCTGCATCGCTATTTCGCTACCGACTTATCGCTAAAGCATAATTTCATCTCGTTGGTTGTTCAAACGTAATTTTCTATAATGAACGATGCCTTTTCTTTGAAAATATTCTCGGTAAAGTGCAGAATCGCTCACTTATTTGTTTGCCGCTTTTTACAAGGGTATAAACAATTGAGATTTTTTGCCAATTTTCTTTTACTTTTTAAGTGAAAATAGGCCGACGTGTACAAAGTCAAGGGTGTGCGCAACCATATTTGTGCAATTCTGGGAATTTTTTTTTTCTTTTCTAATGAAAATAGGCATGTGTGCATAGGATACAGAGTATGTGCAATTCTTAAAAACGCGTAAAGCAGTGGGTGGTGATTCTGCACTTTACCCAAAATTCTATTGCCGACTTTTTGTCATAAGCAATTCCCCAATTGTTAAATCCATAGGATATCAAAAAAGGATTTAAAAATTAAACTAGTATTTCAATCATGTCTTAAGAAATATGAAACTACATAAACTTACGCAATCTGAAATTAGCGCGTACGTGAGATTTGGCGCTTTTGCGCGTACATTTTCGCTGCAATTTTTTACGGTCCTCGAAACCGAATAGTACCGCTGTATGTTACTAATATGGTGGAAATAAATTTCAGTGCTATAAAGCCAACAAATATTTATATAAAACTGTGATTTTTGTGGTAGTAAAGGAAATATATAATATTGAATAAAAAATTTATGCAAATAAAAATATGTTTTTTGATGCTAATAAAAAATTGCTGAAAGTTAAGCATATATTTCGTATGACTTTAGCAGCTATTACAGAAGAGAAAAAATATAATAGATAAATATTATTGTTTTTTTTCTTTCTTTTCAAAGCTGCTAGAATTTTGTGAAAGCAGTAGTAAGTGAGAATTTTTAAAGCTGTTTAGCAAATTGCATAAAATCTGTTGATATCGAAAAAACTATGGCACTAGTTGTTAGATGAGGAATTAATACAGAATTAATGTGAGGCTTTTATATATTTTTCCTTGAACTAAGATATCTGTAGAGGTTTTTAATTCTCCCCCCCTGATATTGAACTTAATTGCAGACTTTTCACACGGGTCATTAATATTGTTTCTGAGATTTGTGTATACATCTGTGACATACTTAAATTTAAATGTTATTTCTATGTTATTTTTTATTATCAATTTCTGCATTATAATTTGTTAAACAATTGTTCTATGTTTTATGTGCTTTTAAAAAGGACAGTGCCCACATATTTAGAATACCTATGGAAGAGAAAATATTGCTGTATTTGATTTCATATAGTTATTTTCTTTCAACTCTGTTATAAAATTTATTGGTTCAATAAATGTGATTCAGTCAGATATTCATTTAATTTTTCTCTTTTGTAACTAGATCGGAGTACTTTTAATATGTGTGTGTGTGTGCGTGTTTTCAGCTGTTTAAATTTCTGGCAGTGTTTTATCTTATAATTTATTTAATCGATGCTCTTTAAAATGCATTGTTCTGAATAAAAATTTTTGTTTCATACCCAAACATACACACGAGAAAAAGCAAATTTCCCCTCTCTCTTCATACCTTATAAAATGACATTTATAAACTCCTAAAACACTGTCAGTTAAAGTAAAAATTAAATTTGTATTAACAGAAAATATTTTTAAAATAATTATCTTTTAGGTGTGCTTTAGAGACAATCGATCATTTATCTGAAACATTAGACTTCACCGAATTTGCTTCTCGCATCTTGCAACCTCTTGTTCGTAATTTAGATACTGTGCCTGATTTACGTCCTGTGAGTATTATTAATCATATGTAAAGCTGTATCATTTGTGCTTTCTTAAATAAGAGTAAATTATTTTGTTGATTTAGAATGATGTAATTGCATTTACATTTGTGTATTATTTGTCTATATTCCTAAATGTGTTAATATACTTTTCCACATTAATTTCTTAGTAAATTTTTATAACTGTATTTCTATATGTAATAGATATAAAAATTGCAAATTCTTTTGAACATATTTTTGTATATACTTTTATGCTTTAGGCAGCTTTTTTTATAGTAGATTTAGATGTTTAGGATACCTTTCTTAATATAATATACAACATAAACCATACAGTTATGCTCAAAATGTGTTTATTTGGTAATATTCATAACTGTGTGGAATATAAAGTAAAATTGGATTAATTAATTATATTGAATCTTGTGGAATACATAAAATAATGTGGGTACCTTATAAATACCTTATGAATGACAAAGATGACAGCTTGTACAAAGCTGTGTACATTATTTATAAAATTAAATTGAAAGTCATCTTATTAGCGTGTGATTTATTGGATTTCATTTCTACCTAATGCAGGGATTCATAATTTTCCCAATTTTTATGCATGTGTAAATCAGGTTTTTTGTAGAATATTTGCCACGATGCAAATCATCCTAGTTTCATCACATGCTTTGGGACAATGAAGCACATATAGATACACGATTGGCAACTTTAAGATACAAAAAAGGAGTTTTTTATCTATATTTTTACATTTTAAAATTTAGAATGCAATAACGTGTTTGTTATATAAATTTGATTAGATTTTATACCAAAGATTACTAATATTAATTACCTTTTTACTAGACTGCCATGGATACATTATGTTCAATTGTTATACAGCTGGGAAAAAAGTACCAAATATTTATTCCTATGGTTCACAAAGTTCTTACCAAGCATCGTATTAGCCATCAAAGATATGATGTCTTAATTAGCAGAATTATAAAGGTAACTATCTAATTTTTATAATATAATAGTGAATCTTTTTGCTGTAAGAATGAATGATTTACAGATTTCATGTAATTTTTTCTTAGGGCACTTCTCTTGAAGAGAATGATGATCCTCTCATGTTTGGGAAAAAGAAATCTCCCTCAAAATCCCATGATGCAGACATAAGTTCAACAAGCAGTGATGTCGGAAATCCGAGAAGAAAACTTCAAATCAATATTGTCAATTTACAAAGGGTACTTTTATACAGTAAAACGTTTTGCTGTTTATGTATATTTGTTAATTGATGTTCTGTATATTAATTTCCTCTAATTATATTATGTGTTTATGATATTGTTATTATTAAGTTTATTGTTGTATTGTATTTAAATGTAACGGTGCATCAGTTTGCATTATTCATCTTTGCTCAAATGTTAAGTTCAACTTATTTTCACAAATGCTTTTTTTAAATTACTTTTCTGTGTACTTGCTCACTTCTTCTTTTCTTTGTCTAAACTATTTTTTTGTTATTTTAAATATAATTTGACAAACAGGGAATGAGGCAACATTTAATGATAGAAATATTAAAAATAAATAAATATAATTTGACAAACAGGGAATGAGGCAATATTTAATGATAGAAATATTAAAAATAAATAAATATAATCTTACAAACAGGGAATGAGGCAGTATTTAATGATAGAAATATTAAAAATAAATAAATAAAAGTAAAGAGTAAGCAAATAATTAAAATTTGCTTTTATTTTAGCACCAGAGGTGCTATTAGTATTGAAACATACATTTTGTCTCTGTTACTTTTAAGTCCAAATCACTTTTCAAGTTGTTGCCACCAAATGTTATCACCCTGTATTATTTTTAAAGAAATTAAGTAATGAAAAATTTATATTTATGTATGTTCCTCACATTGGGGAGAAATGATGGCACCTAGAGCATCAAATTTTGAGTACACATATTCCTCCATCTGAAGTGCACCCGGAAACCCAAATTTAGAATGTACTTATTTATTTTATATTTTATACAAATTTAATGAGTTTTTGATTACCAAACTCAGTGATTTGAAAGTGAGCAGTAGCAACACTATTTGAAATAAAATATTTTTGTCTCCAGTGCTCGAGACTGCTGCCATTTGAAAAAGAGTAAGATAGTTGTCATTCAGTTTCAAATAACAATAATAGAATTTCAAATAACAATTTCGAATTAACAATATTTCAAACTTGGCCATTTGAAAGCATTGAATTTCTGGCAGTGTTGTCACTGCCAGAAATAACTTTTATCTTCCCCGCGCCAGGTTGTTGCCTTTCAGTAAAGCCTAAGTTATTTAACTTCAAATTCATCTGGAAGCTTATTGAGTAACAAACTAAGCAATATACTTTTTGATTGTTTTAAATAAAAATGCAGTAAAATCATAAAATGTTTAATTAGAAATATTAACTATTTTTATGAAATTACACTAGCTTGACTTAGTGAAGTCATTTACATACATTTTTTCCCCTTTTTTTAATGTTTAAGCAGCCAGCTACACAAGCAATTAGTTTTAAAGAAGAAATATAATAAATATAAAAAAGTATGTCAAGACAACACTGTGTTGGAAATTCTAAATATATGCTGTTTTTAAATATTTTGTGATTTTGCTGTTAAATTTTATAACATTTATTCGTAAGGAAGAACATGATATTATAATAGTTATCTTTTAGGTGTGCTTTAGAGACAATCGATCATTTATCTGAAACATTAGACTTCACCGAATGATATAACAGATGATATAACAGAAGTTTTTCATTGCGACTTCACCGAATTGTAATGTATTATGTTAACAGGAATGAGTCCAAGAACAAACTTGTAGAGTTCGCACTTCAGCGAGAGCCTTAAGAACCTTAAGGAAAAAACCTTAAGAAATCCTCTATTGTGGATATGCTGCCATTATTATTATTTTGATTGATTCTTTGCTGTTAATAAATACAAAGTAATTACTAAAATTTACTTATTGTAAATAATGGAAATGGAAAAAGCTAATAATGAAAAATAAAAAAAAGTTTTGTAAGCCACCTTAACGCAATTATTCCACTGTATCTTGTTACATTTCCTTGTAAAACGAAAAAAAATAAAAAAAATAAATAAATAAAATAAAATAAAATAAAATAAAATAAAAAATCTGAACATTGATATGATAAATAGAGAAAAGACTGAAAGAACAGAAAAAATATATGTCAACGCTTAACTGTGTAGCTTGAATTCTAAACATACGCTGCTATGCTCATTTTCAGAATTTTATGATTTTGCTGTTGAGTGATGGTTAAATGCAAAGAAAGCAATTGTTAATAGGTTAATAATAAAGCTAAAAAAAAAAAAAAAAAAGGACACATATTGTGTTAGCTGGAGTGAGTTCAAGAGCAAACTGGTAGAGTCTACACTCAATGAGAGCGTAAAAAACCTTAAGAAATCCTCTAGTGCGATGATAAAAATCTGAATCCTTTCAGATTTTTTTTAACAGATATGTTAAAAAAATTACTAAGTACATTTTTTTTTTTTTTTTTTTTTAAAGTAAGATATCAAAAACTTAGTTATGTTTGAGTATTTCACCATCCATTATCTCCTAGTGATATTCTGATTGTTTATGTATAGAGCATTATAATATATACAATTTTTGTACATGAGATTTTGTTTTTAATGCAAGAATTAATTTTAATAAGTTCTTTTAATGTATTTTGAAGAAAAATATCTATATTTGTTATTTCTAGGCTTGGGCCATATCAAGGAGAGTTTCAAGAGATGACTGGCTTGAATGGCTTAAAAGAATGAGTGTTGTGTTATTAAAAGAATCTCCTTCTCCTGCTCTACGATCTTGTTGTGCCCTTGCTGAATCCTATGATCAATTACCACGGTATTAATTTTAGTGTTATAAAATTATTGTAGGCCTTTTATATAAATTTTTCATGTTGCTGAGTTTATGATGTTTTATAATGCTACACTTTCACTTCAATTTGTTACTTGTAGCTGGTTTATATGCAGAAAAGTTTTCAAAAGTTTGAAAACGATTTTATCAGAAAAGTACATTTGCTACTTACTTTAAATCACATTTATGTATTTAACCTTTTCACTTCTAGCTTCTAGTAAAATGTAAATGTAGAGACAATGATTAAAAGGCTGATATTTAATAATTTGTACAGCCTTTATCTATTATTATGCTTAGGTATGAAATCCAAGCATAATAATGGATTAAGGCTGTTTTCTATATCAAATGTTTATTATATATATAATTATGTTGAATGTCATTTAATGATATGCTGCAATTATTCCACTGTATCTTGTTTCATTGCCTTGTAAAACAAAAACAAAACAAACAAAAAAGCAAATACAGTACAAAGTCTGTAATCCGAATGTACATTATCTGGAATGATCTATAATCCGGATCTCAAAGCCACACACTTTTTTTTTGTATGCTGTACGAATACTCATTTAATGTATAACGGATGGTATAAACTAGGCTAAAATTATCTTCACTGATTCTAAGGCATTTCAGATGTACAGTTAATGTTGCAGATTGCACTGTTCCTTAATCATCTAATTGGATCCGGCTTATTATTTTTTGCAGACTGTTAGAGCAATTTTATAAAAATTAAGGTTGAACTTTCGATTATGTCAAAAAGAGTTTCTAATTCTGGAGCTGCCAAAGGATCTGCAAAGCGAAAGTATGTTCCGATGTCCATCAAACAAAAAGTGGAATTGCTGCAAAAAATGGATAAAGGCATATCCATCTCAAAATTATGCTAGGAGTATGACATTTAAAAGTCAAATGTATATGACATAAGCAAAAAGAAAAATGAACGTTTTGAATTTTTTTTGGATTCCGACACCCCACTTGCAATGAATAACAGAAAAAGGGTTCGTTATGCTAAAAGTGATGATCATTACAAAGTGATGATTGGATAGGTCAGACAGAATCGCAGTGAGGGCGTGCCATTGACGGGTCCAAAGCTAATGGCTCAAGCGAAAATATTTCATGAAGAAATGAACTTAAACACTGAGTGCACATATTCAACAGGTTGCTTAACCAAATTTAAAATTGGTTGATATACCTGATGACTCAAAAGTAGTCCTGATTGTTGACAACTGTTCGGCGCATACTTCACTTAAAGTTTTAGTGAAAGATAATGTATCCGTATTATTCTTCCCTCCAAATTGTACGTCTATCATTCAGCCTATGGATATGGGAATAGTGCACGTGCTGAAATGCAAATATAAAGTAGCATTTTAAAAATCTATGTTAAATTTCTTGAACAATGGCAAGACTATTCCAGACTTTTTGAAATTTTTAGCATAAAAACTGCTGTGTGGAGCATCGCAAGATCGTGGGAGGATGTGTCTCCAGATATGTTAAAAAATGCTTGGCATAATTTATAGCCAACTACCATATTTCATGGTGAGGACGATGAAGATGATAGCCGCGAATTTGAAGGTTTTCAGACATCGCAAACTAAAGGTGAAATTTTCCAGTTATTGGATTTTTGTAAAGAAATGTGGAGAAGCGGTAATAAATGAAGATGATATAACAGAAGTTTTTCATTGCGACGACAATGCCCCAATCATCAATCTATTAACGGACGGCAAAATCTGTAGTATGGTTCTAGATCCAGAAAATACCGCTTCTAATAGTGAAGAAAGTGACAAAAAAATTATTGAAAACGAAAACATTTCGATTGACAAGTTAGTCTGTATTCTCGACACAGCAATTACAGGATTTGAACAGTGGAACTTTCTAACATAACAAGAAATTATGTCTGTTTATAGAATTAAAGAGAAAATATTATCACATAAAACGAAGCAACTTAAACAACTTACATTGAAAGAAATGTTTAATAAAGTAAACAAATAAATATTAATTTTTTTTTTTTTTTTTTTGGTAAATTTTGATACTCTTTAGATCATAATTGCTCTTTATTTCATAAATTGTGGTTTCGTATTTTTAATTGTATAATTACTGCATGCCATCTTACGAGATTTAAATTGATGATCTATAATCCAAAATCACCGAAGTTCCGACATGTCCGGATTATGGACTTTGTACTGTATTATGTTAACAGGAATGAGTCCAAGAAGAAACTTGTAGAGTTTTCACTTCAGTGAGAGCCTTAAGAACCTTAAGAAAAAACCTTAAGAAATCCTCTAGTGTGGATATGCTGCCATTATTATTATTTTGATTGATTCTTTGCTGTTAATAAATACAAAATAATCACTAAAAATTACTTATTGTAAATAATTATGAGAGAATTAGTCTAGCTGCATACTAATTGTTATTTTTGCTGATATATTTGACATAATGACATAATGAAACACATTTTTAAAGACCATTTTTTTCAAGAAGCTTCCAGAAGCCCACACAACACTATATAAAATACAGCTTCTAGAGCCAGGACGAGTCATTTGCTACCAAAGTCTGAGAGGCGCTGCAAGGCAAAGAGAGTGAGCTGAATTGTGCAGGAGATTATTCTGGGAGTAACATTGGGATTTATGATATTTCTCGTGTGCTACAGTATGTAATTATTTGAAAAGGAATGGATACTTAAGCCGCTGTTATATACACATATTTTACAATGCAGAATATGCTTGCTTGAATTTCAGCGTGTTATTCTTTACTGAAAACAAACGCAAAAGCTCCTTTATTGAAATGGCATATAATTGAAGATGATAAATAAGTACTATGCTGTAAAGTTTTCAGAAAAATATTATGCGATTAGCCAAAAGAATCATCATCGGTAACCTTGAGAGGGAGCTGCATCCCAAAAATGTAATGCTTTGTGTATGCTATGAAATGGTGCCGCCAAATCGGACAATCTATTCAGAAAATTACTGTTACCAAATTGGTGTGTTCAAAGCAAAAAGTGGAGCAAAGTACCTGAAACGGAATGTCAAGATGTTATCTTCCATTGTGACAATACTTCATTGAATGTCTAGTTAAGTATTACAGGTATGTTTTGCATCACCCTTCCCTATATGCCAGACTTTGCCACCTTGTGTTTCATTTCTTCAGGTCACTTTAAAATTTTCCGAATGACCTAGGGTTAACTTTTTTGGAAACTTCCAAACAGCACTTCGATAAATTCTTCATGAATAAACATAATGACTTAATTTTAAAAAAGGAATTTTTCATGTGTCGAAGAGATAGTAAAATGTCATAGAATTATGTGATTTGATGAAATTTTCTTGTGTTTTTGTATTGCTTCATTTGTATTTATCATAAAAACAGTTACAAATCTTTCCAGATGACCCTCTATAAATATTATTCTTCCACTGAAAACAAAAATCCATTTACCACTTCATTTACTTTAATTAATTTAACTTTTTTTTACTTCTGCTAATTACAAAATAGCTTGGATTTCAAGTAGTTCAGCTTCTTTCCAGGCTGTTTTTCCTATTAATAAAAAAACGCATAAATATCATAAAAATCACATTATCATACTTGAATTTCTAGTCATTAACAGTTCTTGTTGGTATGGCAGTCAGCAGTTTTGAAATTTTATGTTTCTTTCTAAAAAATAAATTTGATAAAGCTTCAGTTGCTGATGATTATGTGGTTTCTTGACCTTTTCTTTTCATTTTTTCTTTTTTCCCCTTTTTCTTTTTTTTGGTTGTTTTTCAAGTTTTTCTTTTGGAAAAATTATTACAGTTTAAAAATGAGATTTCTTTGAAGCTTTTAATATTCGGCAGATTATCTCAGTTTTATGATTGATTTGAATCCCCATCTTTCCTAACCAGCCTTGATATCTGAATAGTTGGAAAGAAGGTGTGGTGTCAAGCTTAATCATAATTTTTTTTTGTGTTAATTATCTAATTTGCCATCATTTGTGACAATAATTAATGTATAAATTTGGAAAAATGTACAACTGATTGATTTTTGATTACCTTAATATTGAAGCTTTTGTTCTCTTCTTTTATTAAATAGGGATATGTTTAATGCAATATTTCTATCCTGTTGGTCTGAACTACATGAAGCTCAACAAGCTGAGTTAGCTGAAAGCTTAGAACAAGCTTTAACAACTCAAAATATTCCTGAAATTACTCAGACCCTTCTAAATCTTGCTGAATTCATGGAACATTGTGAAAAGGTATTGTTAAATTTAAACGTTTTAGTATTTGTGTTTTATAATCACTGGAACTGAATGCAGAAGAAAGTATTTTGATTAATTCTGTCTGACTTATAATCATTAAAATATACTATGCAAATAATTTACAATTTGCCCACAAATCCAAACTAAAGTATGTTAATTTTATAAATAAAAGAGGTAGTAAATCTATTGAATCATTTTAAGGGTCCTTTACCTCTGAGATCAACTCTCCTTGGTGAGAAGGCTATGGAATGTCGAGCATATGCTAAGGCTTTACATTATAAAGAAGACGAATTCCATAAAGGTCCTACTAGTGAGATTTTAGAAACATTGATAAGGTAAGCAGTCTACTTTTATTTGATTGTATAACAGTAAAATATTTGTTCATTTTTAATTTTAATTTTGATGTTATATTTTTAGCATTAACAATAAACTACATCAAACAGAAGCTGCTGCTGGTGTTTTAGAATATGCTACAAAACATGGAGCTGATTTGGTATATATAAACCGTTTTTATTGGAATTGTTTTAATATGTTTTGAAAGAATTGTATATTTATTTTTGAATGTTAAATGTATAATTTTGTAGTCTATTACAATCAGACTAGAAGTATTGATCATAAATAATATTTGTGAATTCAGTTCTATTAAATATATCAGCATTTCGCCTAACTACTACCCATCTGGAATTTGGTGTGCTTGTAGGGCTTAAGGCTTAATTACGCTTAAGGGTTTATCGAGAAATGTAACATCATTCAAACCTTCACTAATTAGGTTTAAGAAAAGTGAAGAAGAAAATAGGTAAAATTGAATATTATTGAATGAGCTACTGCATGTTATTTGCAAATCAAAATAATGCAGTTAGAAGAGCTGCTTCTAAAAATATAATGATAAAAAAAACTATGACAGCATTTTGTATTTCTGGAAATATACTGTAGAGTCATTTGGTTCTTTTGAAGCAGGAAACTGAAGAAATTTGCAATGCCCTCACCTGGACCTCTCGAATGCGTGCCAAGTACGATACTATAACATCATGAAAACATGCAGAAAAGAGGGAGAAAATATCTTATAATACAAAACTGGAAAAGATGAACCTGCGAGCCTGGAATAACAGGATGATCTCTATCATGAATAGAATCATACAATTTTAGTGGTACTCAATTATATCTTTTGTTAAAAAAATTGCAGTTAAACATAATATTTATCTTTAAAGCAGTGACCTTTTTTCCATAAGTCATCTATTTTTTATTTTCTTTTGAAGTAAGTGAGTCTGTTATTTGAAGTTAGAAAAAACTTCCCACCCCCAAAAAAAGTGGTGAACGTTACAAGAGAATTAAGCTGTCATTAAGAATGTTTATAACAAAGTGCTTATATGAGGCATTTTTGTATTATTATTTACTTTTAGGAACATTAGTTATTTTTGACAGTACTTCCTATTAAAGCAGCTCCTCCAAGTGCTTTTTCAAATTTTGGCATCATTTAAAATTAATTTGACAAAAACTGAAACACTGTTGCAATTTGAAAAAATGAAAAACTGAAATGTGTAGGGAAAAATAGCTTTCATTTATCTTTCTGGAGACCATAATTGGGAAATAGAATAAAAAATTAATATTTTTTTATTAACACATATTTAACTGTCTATTGCACCATTTGATAGTAGTTTTTTCTTCAAGCCAAAAGTATATGGCAGTTCTTTAAAGAAATATTGGGTAAGTGGCATATAGCATCCTTCTATTGAGCAACAGTTACATCTCTAGATTTAGCATCCAATTTCTACTGGAAATTTCTTAAATTGTTGATGCAAAAGTGCTTGTGATCAAGTATAATTACTGTTTTTATGACCACTTACACACCATGATTCATGAATAATAATTGAGCTCACAAATTTTGTTAATGAATCAAACAGCAGATAATAATTAAATTTTCAATTTTAATTTGGTTTGGTTTTAATTGATTTATTAGTAATTTTAGAGCTCTATTATCAGTCATAGTTGCTGCACATCAGTTGATTTGCATAAACAGTTTTGACTGAAAAGTATCCTTCCCCTTTTGGAATGCACTTTAAACTGATCAGGTTTAATACTTCTTTGACTGCTTGGAATGATTCATTTATTCCCTAAATGAATATTACAAGTTGAGCTGTGCCAGAAATGTCGTAACTTTCGTCAAATGGCAAAGAGAAATATTTGAATTCTGGATTTAGATCGAGAAAAAGTGCAACAATTTTGTTTGAAATGTTGGTAATTTGACGACACAGTGTTTGCTGAGATGAACTAGTATTTAAAGATATTTATCAGGCAATTTTGCAACAGCTTGTAAATATTCCTTTATACCATTCCGAAAATGGTTTCAGTTTTTAGAATTTAGAAATGAAATGAAATAAAATAACTTTTCTAACAGTATTAGATGGTTGCTGTAGCGCTGAACTAAACATTCTTAGTTGAGTTTTTAATTAGAATTTAAATTCTGTCGGCTCTGTTTCATTTACTTCTTTTTTTTTTCTTTTTTAGTATCATATAATCACTATGTTTTGGTTCATCATGTTTTTTCTCATTGTAGCCTTTAATCCCTGACTGCCACGGGCTTGCTCAGCCGATGCGCTAACTGCCCCGGGTGTATATATATGCTCTTTCGAAATGCTATCATTTGCTTTGCACTGCTATCAATAAAATTATTCGCAAAGCTTTGGAATATAACACCACAATGACTTTGACAGAGTATGCAAATACTATTTCAGAGATATCTGATATACTATTTCAGAGAGGGGGAGGAATTGGAGGGGAAATATTTCTGAAACAGTGAAAGTAATGACTGCTCAGTTACTGCTTTTGTTTCTGAGTAAAATGTACTTTTGTTTCTGTTTGAGTAAAATGTACTTTTTTTTATTCTGTGCTTTTCATTTACTGTTTGTAGTAGGTGCTTTTTTTACGAATATGTATGACAGTGAAATAGATGATTACTTTCCATCATCTTCAGGATTGGACACCTCAGAATATGATATTATGTCAGATGAAAAATATTACACTTTACTGGTCTAAAAATAAATTGATCAAAACTCCATTTTTTTAGGATCTTTTTTATGATATAAACATGATTTTTATTATATTAGCATCTTTTTTATTATACTTTTACTCTAAATATTAAATTTTGTATTTTTATTTTTTCTTTTACTCTTTATTTTGTGAAGGTAAACAGATTTTAGTCAGCAAAACTTGCACTTATTTTACCCCTAATACATCGCATAATTACGTGCGTCTGCGTAAAAAATGGTGGCACTGGGGAGTGAATCTTGTACGCTTTCTGCGGCAATTAAGAGGTTAAATACTGCCACAGTTTCTTCACAAAGTAAGCACATTAATTTGGAGTTTTGAATAATAAAACAGTACATCTCACTGTTCCCATTGTTCACTGTACTGTCTGTTTTTATCAACAGTTTTATTTTTCTTTGTACTCATAGTGAAAACTTACTATACTGAAGACATCAAGTAATCTGTCTGTCTGTACCCATGTGCATGTTGAACTATGTTTTGATTCATCACTTGATCGTGGTTGAACGTGACCATCACTTGATCATTCGAGCCTTGTCATTATTGCTTTTTTGACCATTCAGAAGGCTAAACATCACAGCTCTGTGACTATAACCATGACTGTCCATGTTGTTTTTATTCAAAAGAATCCAAAAGGAATTCTTGTTTTTTGCTGTGTTAACAGAAGATATCAAATTATAAATTTCGGAAATTACACCATGAGCCACAAAATTTTATTACGTGGACTGTATGCAGCCTGCAGGCTGTCAGTTTGCCATCCCTGATATAAATTACTGTAACCTTGATTAATTTTTCTTTCTCAGTCCTTTTCAAATCGGTATTTTAATATCTTCCAGAAGATTGCTCTTAATATAATTCTTGTGTTATGCTATAATATGTGTATATTATTTCATATATTTAGCAAAAATTATGAGCTAGATCTAGAAATATTTTATTAAAATAATTTCTTTTCTTCTATTACTTAATATTTTTTTTTCCAGTCTGTCTGTGTATAATTTAGCTTAGGCAGTTAAGTACATATTAAGTCATGGTCATGTTATATATTAAGTCATTTGCATCAGAAATTACAAAAATTATATTCATATTGATTTTGTATGTATTTTTTGCAGAAAGTTAAAGAACGGTGGTATGAAAAGCTGCACAAATGGGATAAGGCACTTGCTGCTTATCAGCAGGCTCGTGAACAAAAGCCAGATGATGCAAATTTAATAATGGGCCAGATGCGATGTCTAGAAGTCTTGGGAGAATGGTAATTTTTAATTATATGTTTTATTCTCTAAAAATTTCATGTTTGTTGTATAATTTCAACAGGAATACTTAGTAAGTCATTAATTATAAAATTCAAATCTTATCTTAAATATTGGAATTTATCAAACACAATAAAATATGAATTGCTGTTTTTTTTTATGTGTATTAAATTTTCATATATATTTTTTTCCGTCAATATATTTTTTTATGTGTATTAACTTTTCACATATCACAATGGTCAGATATTTTTTCATGCATTTGCATGTCTTCCAACGTTAATTTTAACGATTTTTTCGCGTGTTTACAGTTTTTTCCCAGTTTTTCCAGATTAATTTTTTAAAAAAATTTTCCTTAGTTCATATTTTAATACAGCGTTGAACTATTTCGTGGAGCTACAGCTCCTGGTAACTTTTTAGCAAGATCGCTGCATTGTTTCTACCTACTATTATATCATATCTTTTTGCAGCATTATGCGCAAAAAATTTTTTGAGACCAAATAGGTCTTGCGTCTCATTACTAGTTACTTACAATTTCTATATTTTATTATATATTATATATATATATATATATTATATATATATATATATATATATATATATATATATATGGATCTTCTGAAAGAACTAAATATATAAATTTCTATTTCAATTATATATATATGGGATCTTCTGAAAGAACTAAATATATAAAAAAAATATATAGTAACTCATATGAGCTTTTAAAATTTTTTTAAAGTAGGTTTTATAGAACTCGAAGAAATTTATTTGAAGATATTTATAAACTGTGAGAATGAAATAAAAAATATATCATCATGGAAAAAACAGTGTGGAACTTTTATGTATGGCAGTAGCTAAGAAAGAACAAAAATTAATGTAAAATATGTATTTATTTAGAATATATGAAGGTAAAAAAAAAACTGAATATATAGATATTTTATCAAAAAGTTGTCTGGAAGATTCCTAGCAGTTGATTATGCAATATTTTCAATAGGAAAATTCATGTATATGACATTAAAAAGATCTGTAAAGTATGTGTTATGTGTATTATTAGAAGTATGAATCAGTTTTTTCATAAGTTCTTTTTGCATATGATACACAAAGTACAAAACAATTAATGCAAATATATACTTAGATTTGCCAATAATTCAACTTACCGGTTTTGTACAATGACCATAAAGTGCAGATTAATTGTAGAAAAACATATAGCATGAATTGTTGGCATTTTCTCTATCTTATATTTGAGCTTCATTTTAGATTTAAGGAATGAGTGGTGTCAATATTGAATGAATGAAGAATGCTTTTCAAAATATATTATTTTTAATTTTATTTATAACTTTAGTAAAAGTCTATTTATGATATATCCTAAATAAAATTGTATCAATAAAGTAATAACAATGTAATATATTTTTACTATGTTCTATTTGCAAAATGAAGCGCAAAATTTGTAGGGAATGAATCATAATTTAATTAAATATGAACATTTTTCATTTAATACTGTTAGAATAATAAAGGTTTTCAATGAATGCGTGGAGATTTTGTGAATATTTTGTTCTGTTGTTGTTATTTATGCTCACTTGTCTGACAGTAACATCAGCCCAAGCCCATGAAATTCCTTGCAGCAAGGAGCACAAAATTACACCTGTTGTTGGAAACAGCCTTTAGCACCTTGCAGGTGACAGTGCGATTTAGCTCAGTTCAGCCCCCAGCTTCGATGGAGAGCACCTCGAGGGGACAGGTCTGCGGGTCTCCCACCCCTCTCCCCTTCCACCAAACGTTCAGTTACACTGTCTTAAAAATACAGTAACCTTTTAAAAAAGTTGATCAACTTAATGTATTTTTCTCAAATAAATAAATGAATAATAAAAATAAATAGAAATAAAATATAAATAATAGGTTTTACTAACAGTCTTTTAAAAGGGGATAAAGGATTTCTGACACATAACAACTTAACTTTTTTCTGAGATATGCTAAAATGTAACATAATAGTTCATTTAGCAGTGTGGTACTGTGTTACTAATCAGCTTCAAAAAATTATGAATCAACTGCTGTATAAATACTTGAATAAAAGTACCATGTATTCCAGCATATAATGTGCATGTATAATTTCAAACAGATTTAAAAATTTTTTTGGTATATTCCCCATATAATGTGCAACCTTTTCTATACAAGGAAACCTGAAAAATAGATGTGCGGTGCTGTGATCTTTTGAAGCCATTCATTCCAAGTTTTCCCCAGCCTTTTGAACAATGGTATACCAAACTGACAAGCAATAAGGGAAACAATATTTGTGTGGAGAAAATGCTTGAGGGGGTAATTAATTCTGCAAAGAGGGAGGGTTGTATTTAATGCCTGAGTGCACAAGAATTAGGGATACATTTCAGTCATGGAAGCAAATGTATTTTCATAGGCTTTAAACCATGAAAGTAATGCATTTTATCTGATTATGAAATCTCAGTGGCCATGAAGTTAGCGAGATCCCATTAAACATTAACATTATTAAGTTAGTCCTATAGAATTTTGAAGGAACTGATCACCCTTTATTTATTTGTAAGTTGATACATCACATAAAAACTTAAATTCCTTGCCATAATTTTTCATATTGTCTTCTCATTGTTTATCCATTTTCTAATAAAGTCTCATGTTGAACCCATTTTTCTTGATGCCAGGATACCTAATTTTGGAAATACTCACTGCATGCTGTTCCTTTTAAGGCAGGTTCCAAATTTTAACCCCCCCTTTTTTTTTTCAAATGCAAGGAAAAATGGATGTACAGCAGTTGTTTCCTCTTTTATAAAGGCTAAACTGGTTTATCGAGGATTAATTGGATTTAAGAAATTAAATCCAATTAATCCTCGATAAACCAGTTTAGATTAAATTCTAAATTAAGACTCTAAATTAAGATGAAATGGTTGTTGTGACATCATGCTTATCCATTTTTGGTTCTAAATCGCACAGTTGGCAAAAGTGTATTCTTGCCAAATATGATAAATGGGAAAGTCGAAAACGGTCGGTATTAAACATCCTTGCAAGAGTAATTCGTGCTGATATTGTGATTGTATTCACATTTGTGATGCTATAAGCAGGTTCTTTGTCATAGTCTTATAAATGCTTTATAATGGCTTTGCAAGGCCTCTCATTTTTGCTTAATTTTTCTTTAAAAATGATTATAAAAGTTAAAAAAGTATTTTGGTTTGTTGAATGCTGGACAGTTGAATGTGGGAGATCACATTTTGTATTAATGTTAAAAGTTTGCATTTGTTTTCTAAATATTTAAATTTTCTAAAATTTTGTTGCCATGCATTATTTTAATTTTATTTCTTTCATAATATAGCTCTGTGTTCGTACATATTCAGTTTTTCATTTTGTAATACTGATAACATGTGTTGTCCTCAAATAAATTCATTAAGTTTTATTCAGTATTTTGAAAAACTGCTGTTTTTGTGTAGATAAAGATAATTTTGGATATCAGTGTAGTTAGTGCTGATAGACAGTTGAAAACAATAAAAACATGCTAGGTCTAATATTTGCTGAAAATTAAAGGAAATAGCTTTTTCTTTATAATCACCAGGTCATGAAGGATTTTATAAAATACAAATTTCATTCAAAACTAGCAGCCAAGCCTGCCAGATGAGTGAGCTGCATTCAAAGAAAAATTTATAAGTTCTATGTACTTCTGAAAAGCAAATGTATAGAAACATTTCAGTATGAATGAAATCAGTTCATTCTTTCCAAGCAACAACCAATTAATAAATAATTTTTTTATTGCCAAACCAGGAAACTGAAACTTTTGATACTTCAGTGAATACTTTTGATACTTTGTTGGTTCATTGCTTTTAAACAAATCAATAGACACGACTGCTTTAAATATTTAGTACAGTCAAAAGTCGTTAATTCGGACACCCATAATCCGGAATGATCTATAATCCAGACCTCAAAGCTAAAAACTTTCTGCGCATGCGCCGCGTTGGCACATGTGCACAGGCGTTTTACGCGTGCGCGTAAGACTTTGACTACTGCGCATATGCGTGTGCGCAAGTGCAGAATACATTTTCGCCTGCGCGTTTAACGGACGGTGTAAGCTAAAATTATCTAATTATCTATTTCAGTTAATGTTAATGATTGCGTTGTTCCTTAATCTTCGAAATGGATCGCGCGTATTATTTTTTGCAGACTGTAAGAGCAATTTTATAAAAGTAAACTTGAACTTTCGATTATGTCAAATAGAATTTCCGATGCTGGAACTTCCAAAGGATCTACAAAACGAAAGTATGTTTCGATGTCCAACAAACAAAAAGTGGAATTGCTGCAAAAAAGGGATAAAGACGTGAGGAATGTGACAGAGAGGTTAGTGAAAATGAAAAAATTTCGATTGACAAGTTAGTCGGTATTCTCGGCACAGCAATTAACAGGACTTGAACTGCGGAACTTTGTAACTGAACAAGAAATTATGTCTGTTTGTAGAATTAAAGAGAAAGTATTATCACATAAAACGAAGCAACTTAAACAACTTATATTGAAAGAAATGTTTAATAAAGTAAATAAATATTAAGCTTTTTTTTTTTTTTTTTTTTTTGTAAATTTTGATACCATTTAGATCATAATTGTTGTTTATTTCATAAATTACGGTTTCATATTTTTAATTTTAGAATTTCTGCATGCCATCTTACGAGATTTAAACTGATGATCTATAATCAGGAAAAATCGATAATCCGGAATTGCCAAAGTCCCGATGAGTCCGGATTAACGACTTTTGACTGTATATGATATTACAGCTTTTAATGTAAAATATTGTATCATCATCATAATGTAGAATTATTTCAATTTCATTTCAGGTCCCAATTATATCAGTTATCCAGTGAAACTTGGACTAATATTGATGAAGCTTACCGCCCAAAGATGGCACCAATTGCAGCTGCTGCAGCTTGGGGCTTAGGTAATTGTGCAGCTATTCATTTGGTATATCAGTGTTTTAAGCATGCAGGGTAAATAAACCTTAAAAGATTTTCCATTTATAAACCTGAAGTTATATGCAGATTTTGGTTGTATCTCTCAATTAATTTTTTTTTTTATATATATAATGTGTGTTTATATATAAAAAATGTGTGTTTTGCGATAGTTATAATAATGAAAAAGTAGTACAAGAAATCTGCTTTTTGATGATGTTCTGTACTTTTTTTATTCCTTTGAAAATGTGAGCCATATATTTTAAGCATTTAATTTCTGTAAATCTTTGTATAAACATTTTTATTAAATACCTTGAAGAAACCTCTTTAAGGTGTTTGTTTTTGGGCTTAGGAAAATAGAATATTCAAAGGTATTTTCTTCCTCCTTTCTGTATGCCTTTGTGGTGTAATGGTAGTACACTTGACATGTATTCGAGAGGTCCAGGTTCGAGTCCTTGTGAAGGCATTGTTAATTTTTTATGTCCCCTGCTTCCAAAAACAACTAATGCCTCTACAAAGTATTTTTACTTGAGAGAAATATTTGCTGCACATCTTATGCACAGGTGATCTAGTGAAATAAATACACAGTTACATCTCAAATAATAAAGTTATCTGTAATGAACAAATGCATAAGTTTTCAGGTAGTTTTAATTTTTGATAAAATAATATTATAGAACATTTTTTCACACCATACATCTGGAAGAGTTTTGCCTTTTTAAATAGTAGATTTTATGTTCTATATCTTAAATTTCTAAATGACAGTGCTTAAACTAGCAGGGCTGCTGTAACTTGGCTGAAAAAATCTACATTCCAAGAGAAGATTGTAATTTCTTTTAAATCTTATTTTTATATTTTAAAAATATTTTCTAACTTTTTAAAACTTTAATAAGAAGAATTTCAATATGTTAAATTATAATTAGTTTTTGGATCACTTTTTTTTTTTTTTTTTTTTTTTTTTTTTTTTTTTTTTTTTTTTTGGAAGAGTGACCTTTAATCCAGAATTGTTTTAAGAAGTCATCCACATATTAGAATTCTTAAATTACTAAAATTGCATTTTTCTATAATTTTATTTATTTAAAAATATTTTACCACTCCTAAAAAATTAAAGAGTGATGTGTAATTATTTTGAATGCAAATTCAAATAAATTAACAGGAAATTCAAATTTGATCATAGCTTTCTTTTTCTTCATCTTTTGTCTCTTTTTCCGTCAAGTAAAATTTTTATGATAAAAATTTTTAAATTTTGTGCTCTCCTGTCTTATTTCTCCCTTTCTCTCTCTTTTTCTTAATGTATTGCATACATGATTGCTTTAGAATATTTTTTAAAATTCTTATTTGTATTACTGTTCAAAGAAAACATATTTCTATAGTATTTTAGTAAATTCATTTTTAAAAGATGCCTTAATGCTTTCTATTATTAATATATGAGTATAATTATTTGATTAAAAATTAGAATGTTATGATACTTCTTTTTTCTCTAGGACATTGGGAAAGTATGGAAGAGTACACACGTGTCATTCCTCGCGGTACAACAGACAGTGCTTTTTACCAAGCCATACTCTCAATACATCGTTCAGAATTTCATCTCGCACAACAGGTTTGCTGCTGTATTTATTAAGTATTAAAGGAGTTGTTAATGTTAATTAAATCCATTTTGGAGATTATATGTGACACTTGTTAGTATTCATACTTTAAATTTTCTAGTCTTAGGAATTCAAGTCTCTACTTAAATATTATTAGAAATAAGAAAAAGTGTTGAACAGATTAACATTTTAAAATGTAATACCATAGTATAAACTTTTATTTCAATTATATGTGTTTAGAAAGCATTAAAAATGAAAAATATATATAACCTTGAATATTATTTTTGCAAAATATGCTGTTCATCTGAGCCTTGTTGTTGAGCACTCGTAGATGAACATTGGTTCAAATCCCAGCAAACAAGCTGTTTCCATGGGAATTTTAATGGGTGTCCCCATGTGTGAAATGAATACAAATGAGTTTCCATTGAAAGGCATTCTTTCTCTTTTGCAAATAGCCTAAATGCTTTGTCACAATCTAAACAATCCTAAATTCTTTTTATATTAAATAAATATTTAATTGTTGTTGTTATGTACTTCATCATTCCAATCCTTAAACAAAGTTGTGAAAATATTAATATTATTGTTTTTAGTTTGTTTAGATTATAGTGACTGGTGATATTTTATAATTTATGCTTAGTTTTTAGGCTAAAAAATGTGAAACAGTTAAAAAAAATTTCCTCCTCAAAGGTCAGATTTTCAGCTGTTTATATATATGTAAAATTAAAAAAAAATAAAAAAATAAAAAAATAAAAAATACGATGGCTTTGCTCTTTGCGAACCAGCATCCTTTAATTAATTTTCTGCAATTCAGCATCTCCCCTTAGACCATTACCTTCTAGAACATTCGCACCTATTACATAACCTCCTCATATAAATGCTGTGTCATAAGTTTTTCTACATTTTTCTAGAAGCTACTCTGTTACATAACCTTTCATATAAATGCTGCGTCATAAGTTCTCCTAGACAGATGCCTTCTCGCCTTCGTCCTGCTAACGCTTCCGCTATGCTCCTCTTTCTTTGTTAGAACGTTATGATGTATTAAAGTTTAAAGTCAGTCGTATCTAATAGTTCAGTTACTGAATAAGTTATTTGATTAACTTCATCTGGAAAAAGTCATCTGCGTCATTCAAATTAATCATGCGATCTTATGTAACCGTTAATACCAGATGCCTCTTGACGACCAATCACCGAATTGTAAACTAAAACTTTTCTCTTCGCGTGCTTCCATCTTTCATAACGACGCACTTCAGCTTTTGCTCTCTACTCTGCTAATATGTAATTTCGCTGGCTTGCTTTCTATCCCAACAATATCAAAAATGTAAATCTTCTGTGGAACACGACTAGTGCCAAGTGATCTGTGGCCACATATGTCAATTGGAAATAAAAATGGAATTAAAACTGCCTCGACTGCCAAGTTCTTTAAATACTACGCAATCAAAATTCTTCTTCAATATGGATCTAAGCACGCATCGACACTGCTCCGTCATTTCCTTTGCTTTTATTATGTCATATATATATTAAAACTTAACCATAAAATTAGCAATTTTTTAAAGTAAGCAAGAGAAACAAAATTATGTACTGTATAATGACCATTTTTTTAAATCTAATATATCAGCATTTTGAAGTTTTTATATTTTTTAGTGAATTTTTTTAAAGTGCTATGAAATTATTTAAAAAATAATTCTATCTAACCCTTTAAAATGAAGGCTGTATGTTGTAAGCTAAAAAAAAAGAAATATTTCTCTCTCACTTCAAGTTTTTTTTTATTGGAACTTTTTTGTTGTATTTTGCATTTTCTTAAAATAACTCGAGGGCCATCCAGGAAGTAGATTACGTTTCCGTCTGTGTCCGCTAGGGGCGGGGCTAGCGCGGCCATCTTGGGGTCAGAGCGTTGCGCAGCTCAGTCTGCATCTAGCCGTGCTAGTGAGAGGTTCGTGCTGTGCTCCGTTCAGATACTGTGACGGTTTGAAATGTCTGCGTTAATTGAAAATCCCGCGAGCTGCGAGGTGCGCTCAGTAATAAGGTTTCTGACTGCAAAAAACTGTAAACCGATAGAAATCTATCGGCAGCTTCGTGAAGTGTATGGGGACAACATTATCACTGAAGGTGGAGTGCGTCAGTGGGTCATAAGATTTCAAAATGGCCGAACCAATGTTCACGACGAAGATCGAAGTGGGAGACCCAGCATAGTGACCGCCGAACTTCTCGAAAAAGTCGATGCTAAAGTCCGTGAAAATCGAAATTTCACAATAACGGAACTTTCTTTGAGTTTTCCACAAATTTCGCGAAGTTTGTTGCACGAAATCATCAGCGAAAAGCTTGGTTACCACAAGTTTTGTGCAAGATGGATTCCAAAAATCTTGACAGAGGACCACAAAAATCAGCGAATGGCTGCAGCGTTGAACTTTTTGGACGCTTACCATAAGGATGGTGACTCTTTACTCGATCGCATCGTTACTGGTGACGAAACATGGGTGAAACATGTGAACTGTGAAACGAAATTGCAATCAATGCAGTGGGGGCACACAAGTTCTCCCCAAAAACCCAAGAAATGCATGCAAACAATGTCGGCAAGGAAGATGATGGCGACTGTTTTTTTGGGACAGAAAAGGTGTAATTTTGGTGGACTTCCTGGAAAGAGGCACTACAATAAACTCTCAAAGGTATTGCCAAACTCTCCAAAAACTCAGAAGAGCAATTCAAAACAAGCGCAGAGGAATGTTGAGCTCTAAGATCTTGTTGATTCACGACAACGCCCGGCCCCACACGGCAAATGTCACTCGTAAAGTTCTTGAATCTTTTAAGTGGGAGTTGTTTCCTCATCCGCCGTACAGTCCCGACCTGGCACCGAGCGACTTCCACCTATTCCCAGCAATGAAGAAGTGGCTGGCTATGCAGCGTTTTGATGACGACGCACAGCTGCAAGAAGAGGTAACGAAGTGGTTGAAGGCGCAGGCGGCCGAATTTTTCGACGAAGGAATTTCCAAGCTCGTACATCGCTACGATAAATGCCTTAATTTGTATGGTGACTATGTAGAAAAGTAGTATTTGAGTGTGGCTTTCATCTGTATATAATAAAATTTGTTTCCTATACTTTGTTTATTTTTTTATTCCAAAACGTAATCTACTTTTCTGGATAGCCTATAGGAAATCTTGAAAATCCCAAGCGAGGGATAGTACTCATTTAGAATATAGCATTATATTGAGAAGTTATGCTGGTATTAGATGTAGTCATATATTCACTTAATTTTTACTCAGCATGTTAGTAAGGAACATGTAAAAGGCAAAATTTTGGGAAAGAAACATAGCATGACAGTAACATTCCTGGTTTTTTTTTTTTTTTTTTTTTTTTTTTTTTTTTTTTTTTTTTTTTTTTTTTTTTTTTGTTTTTTTTTTTTTTTTTTTTTTTTTTTTTTTTGTTTTTTTTTTTTTTTTTTTTTTTTTTTTTTTGGTTTTAGGTAATCAGTTTAAATCTAGTAAGATGACTTATGGATGCGATGACACTGGGGCTTCATTTGTTGTTTAGATCAGATAGGAAATTGCTAACCCCCATTGGGCTGGCATCAGAGCAAGTACAGCCAATGCAGCCTCATTGGGTGTTAGAATTTAGAGGTGGCAATGGTTTAAAATTTAAAGAAACACAAAGTAGCAAAAATTAGGAATGGCAGAATTTTTAGAATTTAGGAAAGGAATTGGGCAGTAGAATTTAGGGGCAATAAATTGTTTTGAATTTAGAGAGGTGTACTGAGCAGCAGAATTTAGGAACTGCAAGTGATTATTATTAAAGTATGTTAATAAAAATAATAATAATATAATATATAGTTTAGATAAGTTCTGGCAACAATGAGTGTTGTCGTCATCAGGAGATCGTGCTTCACGATACTGTCGTTCAAAAAATAGCTATAGTTTGTAATTCCAATAAAAAGCATTGTATTTTTGCTCTGCTATTTGTCTTCTCTCTATTTTAGAAATACCTTTTTAGGTTATGTATTTTTTAAGAAATACTTTTTTAGGTTATGGGTCAAGCAAACTCCCATATTGCGTCAAATGTTTTGAATCGATGTTTTCTCGAAGAAACGAAACTCGTTAAGCCTAATCAAGTAAGCGTTTTGTTTTCGTTATAGCAATCGAAAGTTGTTTAGAAATCAAAGTATGGAATTATCTAAGGTCCAAGTAAAGCCTTTATCAGGTGAAAGCGATTGGCTTGTATGGAAATACAGGATAAAATTTGTTTTAAATTATCATCCTGGTGCTTTAGAAATTGTAGAAGGAACTATAGTGAAACCAGAAATTCTTCCTGTAGATGCTCCGATTGCTCAACAAGAGAAATATAATGAAGCTGTTAAGAAGTTTCAAAATGCAAACACTAGTGCTATGATGGTGTTAACGAATTCCATGATGGAAGAAACTCTGCAAAAATTATGAGATTTCAGACTGCTAGAGAAGTGTGGTTGGAATTACATAAGTTATTTGAAGCATCATTGGAAAATCAATTGTATAATACAGTCAAAAGTCGTTAATCCAGACTCGTCGGGACTTCGGCGATTCCGGATTATCGATTTTTCCGGATTATAGATCATCAGTTTAAATCTCGTAAGATGGCATGCAGAAATTCTAAAATTAAAAATATGAAACCGTAATTTATGAAATAAAGAACAATTATGATCTAAAAGGGTATCAAAATTTGCAAAAAGAAAAAGCTTAATATTTATTTGTTTACTTTATTAAACATTTCTTTCAATGTAAGTTGTTTAAGTTTTGCTTCGTTTCATGTGATAATACTTTCTCTTTAATTCTATTAAACAGACATAATTTCTTGTTCAGTTACAAAGTTACGCTGTTCAAGTCCTATAATTGCTGTGTCGAGAACACCGACTAATTTGTCAATCAAAATTTTTTCGTTTTCAATAACCTCTGTTACTTTCTTCGCTATCAAAAGCGAATTATAATGACGAGGAACTTGTTTTAAATCATATCAAAGACGGAGCATATCAAGATGAAATACTACATTTGG